CAGGGTTGGCAAGATTTTGCCGCAGGTGGAAAAAACCATGGTAAATACCGGTAAAAACCGTCCTGGCAAAAACAGGTTTTTGCCAAGCAAATTGGCAAAAAGTGGCAAAAACCTATATTTTCCAAGATGAGAGGACAAAAACACATTTTTGATACAAAATTATTCCTAAAATTGAAATATATACTATGAATATAAATAATTACAAAAAAATTAACAAAACTATTATTCCATAATTAAATGATAATGTATCATTTTAGTAGTTTAAAACATTATTGATTGGAAAATTTGTGATTATTCTCTTTTTTCCAGTGAAATGAACTTATTTAAAATAATGCAAATATAATTTAAAGCATAAAATATCTATCAACATGTGTAGTTAATTATTGTACATATAATAATGTTTTATAATAAATAATAGTATTATACAAATAATAATATTTATTTGTAAAAAAACATTTATTTTAGGATTCTAAAATGAAAAGAGATCAAAAACTTTCAATCTTTTAAAAATTATTACCCTTAGGTATATTAATTATTAATATGTTAAAAATAATTTTTTCATGTAATGTATCAAAATTATTATTCCTTATGNTTTTTTTATCAATAATTGATTTCGGAATTTAACGAAATTTCAATGATGAATAACTGTATTTCTTAGATCTAAATAATTTCAAGAATTTTTGTCTGAAGAAATTATTGTTTGGAAGTGAACCGCATTTGGAAGATTTTACTTTTAACACAAGAAAAAAACACCGGTGTTTCATGCTGAATTTCATAACCATAAATTATTAAAATGCTAAATATAATACTTTTCACTTATTTTGACCTAAATTAATTAAAAATAATGAAAAAAGTAAAAAAAAAATATGCTTGATAAAAATTCTGCTTCGAGGAGCTAAGGTTTAAAGAAATTTCATATTAACTGGTAAACGATGAACCTAAACGAAACAGTTGTGTAATTGGAGCTGAAATGGAAGCGTATGTTGCCAGAGATGTCATTAGTTGTTTTAAACCGGCATTTAAAAAAATTATATTAAAAAATACAAATTTTTGGAATTATTGCGAATTGCTGGCTAAAGTTAAGAATTGCTGACTAAAGCTTATTGAAATACGATACAGCTTACTGCAACCTTTATATGGTGCTAACCATAATATTGAACCTGATTGCACAATGTACTAATGATTCGTTTAACACATTAACAAGGTTCAGCCACTGGTCTAAAAAGGTGTGTGGATGTTCGAGGAAGACTTCTCGATTAAAAAAGAAATTAAGAAAGAAATTAGATTAAAGAATTAAAGAAAGAAAAGAAATTAAAAAAGAAATTAAGTCAATAAAAGAGGTAGAAAAAAGGCTAGTTAATAAAAAAAAAGAGAAGCTTGAACTATATAGAAATCTAAATCCATATTTCTAACTCATTTTGATAAAAATTATTCTTTGGTAAAAAATTTATAATTTTCAATAAAATATTCTTAAATATTTTTTTAAAAAAAATCTTACATTTTTATGACCAAAATCATAATTATTACATTTTTTCTTGAAAATCCCATTTTTTTGTTCATAAAATATTTTGCTCAAGGGAATTATTTATCTATTGAAAAAATTAGTTTAAAAAAGAAAATTTCGTAATAAATTCAGATTTTGTCTGAATGCCTTAAGATGTTGCCACCTTAACCCCCACTGCAAGCTACTGGGATCACCGTTATAATTATATATATAAATATATATATATATTAAATAAATATATATAACAATTTAATCTGTGTAATCGCTTTTTAATAAGGTAATTGAATTAACACACTCCAAAACTTAATTTAAACATAAAGATTAAAACATATGTAAATAATGATCTTTCAGATCTACCATAAATAAAGCCCAGTAATTTAATATAAAACATTCATTTATTAAACTTACATAAACTTAATCTATCTAAAAATGCTAGTATTTTAAAAGTATAACACAGACAAGAGTAATACAGTATTACAAGATAAATAACATCACAATTAAAGAACCAGAAGATCAACCTTTCACTAACAGGGGTCTGTCTAGGTTTTTCTGAGAGGTACCTATTTTGTGAAAATTTAGACATAATTTCTAAAAATTAAAAATTATATTAAAAAATCAACATAAAAATATGGATTTATCGTTTCTTACGAAATACAAAAATAAAATTTTAAGAAAAAGTATTTTGTAAAACAATCATTTTTCCTAAAGTTGAATTTGTGAAGATATCGCAAAACGGTAGTAAATGTGACCTGGACAGACCCCTGACTAAACTAATCAACTTTCAAAAATAGAAATAAAAAGTCTTTATTTTCTCATTTTGTTTATTTTTATTAACATTTAAAACTGTTCAGGGGCCAAGTAAACACACTCTGAAGGCCAGTTTTCCCTCCCTGGAGTAATAACTCTGTATTACAGTGCCCAGCTTAAAGAGCACCCTATTATACATTTCAACCTTACAGCTTTACAGATAATTAGATACCTTGAACTGATCAACAGAAAGCCATAAACTGTGAATACTCCCAAAAAATGCTACTGAAGTACAGGAGTAAATGAGAAGCAACTTAATCATTCTTACTTTGTAATTTTACAATTTAAAAATATCAGGCATCTTTATATTTTAATAAAGTAAATTATAAGTACACTAATAACAATTTAAATCTGTGTAACAGCCTTTTAATAAAGTAATTGAAATAAGACACTCCCAAACTTAATTTAAACCTAAAGATTATAACATATTTAAATAATGATCTTTCAGATCTACAATAAATAAAGCCCAGTAATTTAATATATAAGATGGAATCATTTATCAAACTTACATATAGTTAACCTATCTAAAAATGCTAGTAATTTGAAAGTATAACATAGACAAGAGTAATACAGTAATTCAAGATAAATAACATCGCAATTAAAAAACCACATGATCAACCTTTTACAATCGACAAAGTTTAAAATAATTTTTAAATCAAAATCTTAAACTTAACTTACATTGTCAACATAAGCATGATGTAAACAGTCTGGCATTTAAACCACAATAATGCATTCTCGTAGAACCGGAACTCTTTAATAGAACTTTTTACAATAAGTCAAAAACTCTTTGCGGTAAAAAGGCAGATCAAGAAAAGTTCAGATGTGTTTTTATTCATACTCATTAATTATTTGCTCATTAAATAATATTAATTCACCACAACAAAAAGATCAATCGATGCAAAATATATTTAGTTTTTCTTTACTATCTAGAATATGGCGAAGTCCATTACAATCGTAAGCCTCAGTTGTGATGCCACCCATTGAAATTTTAATATTCTAAAATTTTCATTCAAAAAGCTTTTCAATGTCTAATTGTTTTAATCAAATTACTAATATTTCTCATTATCTTAAGAGTCATGGTTTTTTAAATGTACCGAGATAATTTTTTCCTCAAGCGAAAAGCAAAAAAAGGTTATCTCAGCACTTTCGCCATCTGGTGGCGTTGATTTAATTTTTGAATGAAAATGTTTTGGTTAAAAATGGGGGAATTCTTTCAAATCATTGCATAAAGATTTATATGTGTGTGTTTTACAAAAATCATTATTCGTTGATTATATCTTTCTATCGATATCGCTGATATTTTTCTGAAAGAAAGCAATTGAATTTAACTAAGTATCGTCAAAAGATACAAAAACTAGTGAGCAAAATGGTGTACTGTTGTGTTCCGCAGTGTGGCACTGATAGTTGGAGATGTGATCCCTCTATTACTTTCCATGATTTCCCATCTAATCCCGATTTGGCTGCTCGATGGATTCAACAAATCAATCATGCTGTCAAATCCGAGTTCATGTGGTTTCCTAGATCGAATTCTGTTGTCTGCAGCAAGCATTTTCTTTCTATTGATTATAAAGATGATTCAGATTCATTAAAACCCCGTGTTGTACCTACTGTTTTTGGTCATAAATACATTGGTCAAGGTACTGATACTGAAGAAATTAAACCTGTCGACAAAAATAAAAGTTCTAACGGACCTCTTATTGTTAAAATCAAAACAGAAGATGGGGGTAAACAAGATGTCCTTATTTCTCAGGATTATTCACAAAATAGTTTAATAGAATCAATAATAAATGAGCCTGAAAATTCCGTAGCTAGCAATTTGCAATCTACTACTAAAAATACTGTTTCACGATCTTTTAAAACTTATTCTAAGCAAATCAATATGGGTATACAGCATCAAACATTTCAGCCAACTTGTCAAGAAATTTCTCCTAACGTCTTTTGTCCTACCAAAATTAGCTTCATAGATGAAACAAACGAAGAGACACCAGCTAAAAAATTTTCACTGCAAAAACCATTTCAAGAAGTTTCCTTCAGTACAATTAATACTTCTTCCCCCTCTACTACAGATAAGACAGTTCAAAGGATTTCACCCAGTATAGTTAACACCTCTTCTACTATAGATAACACAAATAAAATTTCTAAAAAAATAAATAAAACACTAGGAACCCAAAATAAAGTATCCGATAAAAGTAAAGCCATCAAAAAGAAAGTACAGAAACGAGATAACAATGACAATAATCTTATTGAAATTGGGCCGAACACATTTTTAAAAATAAACCCAGATATAATCAAAGTTAATAAAAAACAAACACCATCTGGTAATACTGTACTACAATTTCTTATGGATCAAAACTTAGCTAATTCAATTGGTACAGACGTTTTGCCAAAAATTGTTCAAGGTGCAATATCAAACATTGGGGATGCTACAAGCAATTTGATAAAAAAATCAAATGTAATACCATCAACAAATGCAAATGAGACTCCATCAACTCAAGCTGCTGAACCTTCAAAAACAGATGCTGTAGTTCAACATGTTGTAGGGCACCTTGTAGATACTCATGTTTGTAAACAATCGTGTACAAACTTACAGGAAGTAGATGATGCCTTACTAGAAACTAACGATATTGATCAAGAAAAAGATGACAGTATGATGGATGTCGAAGTTAATAATATACCTGAAGAAAGAAACTCATCTCCTATATGTAATGGAATGCAAGATGAGATTACAGTTGCAAAAAGTCCTCATTTGAATAGACAAAATGAAATTGCTACTAATAAGGCAGATTCTTCTTGCATTGCTAAAGCTCCAATTTTATTAACAACTAATATGCCACTTGCACATTGCTTTATGGAAAAAACTAAATATTTATCACACTTGAGACAAAAAGCAAGACAGATTGCTTCTTTAAAACAAAAAGTGGCTAATCTGAATAAAAAAATTGAAGAACTGGAAGATAGATGCGTTGTTCAAGAAAGGCAATTATCATTTTCTTTTCTTAAAAAACTTAGAACGATTCGTAAAAATGCAAGTAAAGGTGATCCTCCCGCAACATACATCTTGGAACAAATCCGTGCTTATACTGGTCAGAAGCAAATGCGTTGGTCAGATTCCACTTTGCAACAGTGTGCTGTATGGTGTAAAAAAGCACCATATGCTTATGAATACTTTAAAAAGGCAGATTTCTTCAAACTTCCATGCTTAGGAACTGTGAAAAGATTTATGAAAAAGCATCCTGAAATGACATTTTCAAATAAAACCATTTCTAATATGGGAAATGAAGAAGGAGAAAGTTCATCAGATTTTAACTTTGATGAAGAAGACAGTATGGGAGAACAAGACCATGAAATGAAAGAAAATCAAAATGAACAAATTGTTTGTGAATCTGTGTTGTCTGATGAAACAAATAATCAAACCTCAAAAGCTGAAACAACCTCATATCAAACTAGCAATCTCATGCATCAAGTAGGTGAGCAAAGTACTGTTGAAGTTGTATTCCATCATGAGACAGGCTCAGAAAATACTGTTCAAAATATAAAGTTAGAGAATGCAACTAAATCTAAAACTTATCCAGTGACTGTTGATGGAACTAATTTAGAAGTTCAAGAACTAATACTTCCATCAGGAGAAGTAGTTCAGTGTTATAGCTCTAACATTTGTAGTAGTGGTGAACCAAACAGCCAATATTATATCATTCCTAGTACTGGAGATTCAAGCACTGGGGTTGAACATGAATACAGTATTGTACAGTCAGCAGATTCAGTACCGGTAATTTTACAAAATTTAGAAAATTCAAACCTACAGCAAGAACAATTAATCTTTATCACAAATTCTTCAGACCAAGTAGAATGTACAGAAACAGAAGTTATGACTGCTTGATAATCTTATTACTTTTAGTTCAAACTACTGAAGTCTTTTTTTAGCAGTGATATAAAAGTTTTCAAATTCTTCCACTTGAACAAAACTTAATAGTCTTGCAAAATTTAATTTGCCCCTTGGATTGATCATTTTACTATTTATAAAGTATTTTATTTTTCTATTATTAAAATATCTCTCTTTCAGAATCTTTTAAGTCATTTTTAATGTTTTCCGTAAGAACGTCAAAATAAGAAGGGCATGCAATTGTAAATTTTTACTAATAAATTATATATCAGGGGTCTGTCCAGGCCAAATTTACTACCGTTTAGCAGTACATTCACAAATTCAACTTTAAGAAAAACTGTAGTTTCACAAAATACTTTTTCTTAAAATTTTATCTTAGTATCCCATAAGAAACGATAAATCCATATTTTTGTGTTGATTTTTTAATATAATTTTTAAAATTAAGACATAATTTTTAGATATAATTTTCGCAAATTATGTCTAAATTTTCACAAAATAGGTACCTTTCAGAAAAACTAAGGCAGACCCCTGTATATTATCACACCTGTTTTAATAAGTAAACTGAATTTTAAAATCTGAATTTCTTTTATTTTTATGAACTAGTGCTTTGATAAAATTCTGTGAGTATTAGTATAATTTATATTTTGTACTTGTTCCTTTTGTATTGATTTATTTTCATTTATATGTTCATCTTGTATTTTTACACACTATTTTTCATGTTGTAATATTTATTTACAAATAAACACTAAATTATTTTTCTTCAATTCTGTTTCAACTAATTTACAATACATATTATGGATTGAATCTTAAATATATAAACCAACACAGTTAAGAGATCCTATCCACATATGCATAATATACACAAAAGAAAATTTGTCACCTTTGCAGAAACTTCTTTAATTTTATCTATTATTATACTTTGTAAGTTTTGATTATTACAATATACTGAATTGTAGACTCATAAAATATACAATCTATAGGTATTTTGATTATAGATTGTATAAGTATACAATGTGTAATATAAAATATATTTATATAAGTGGACAAAATTTCTATATTCTACTCCTTAGTCAATTTAGAAAAATTGAATGTAACAGAAATTCTGAAAAGTTAATTACTAGTTTTATAGCTTCAAAAGACTAAATTTAAAGAAAAATGTTCTAATATGACAATATAACAATTGATATAGATTGTTATAAAAATTAAAACACTAAAAAAATCAGTGTTTTTTCAAATAAGTTTTGTNACCAAAAAACCGGAACGAAATTCGATACATTTTCCCGCCATTTTTTAAAAAAGAAATTTTTTCCTCATAAGATTTTTCTTTCTTTTCTAAAAGATGTTTACCTTACCATCATTTTGGAAATAATCATTAATGTATTACTCCATCGTTTTTTCTTCTTTTTAAGATTATTTCCACAAAAAAATTTTTTTTTTAGTTGGGATTAACAATTTAAAAAAAACGGCTTTTTGTGGCGATTCAGAAAACCGGAAAAATCAGTTATCCGGAATAGCGATGGTCCCGATCGTTCCGGATAATCGGTTCCCTACTGTAGAACCAAGTTGTCTTTTCAATTCCAACTATAGTTAAAAAGGGCAACCTGGAACCTGTGTATAATTTCATAACTTGTAATAATTATATAATAAACTCTTATCTTAGGAATTATAAAATTGATTTCTTATGGCATATTAGAATTATGTAGGCTAATTTACAAGTAAAATATGCTAATCGTGTAATTCAAAATATTCCACGATATTTTCTATGCAAAATGTGAACTATTGATACAACATTTATTAAACATGGAGCTGTAATTAGTTTTTAAGTTAATGTTTTTCACTGCATGATATTTCATGACTAAAATTCAGTCTTGCAAGCTTGTTTGATACTACTTAAGATTATCAGAAAATATAAAGTGATTATGCGACTTAGAACTGGAATGATTTAGAATGTTACGAAACACCACGCTGTCCAGCATCATCACACCTCCTCCTGATGGTGACTTTTTTTTTTGAAATTCTAAAATATTTGTAATTGAGGCATGCCGTTAACCTCTCGATCTTGATTACCAGCCTTGATATGTTTAAAAAGAAAGAAAAAAAAAGATTTTGTCACTGATTTCCGTGAAAATCCGCACAATATTCATAGTTTTTTTTCGTTCGTTTCCACCAATAAACCTGATATTTTTAATACCATATTAAAACGAGAACTCACCATTTTTAACATGCTCGATTTGTGGCACTTTAGTCACAAATTCAGGTCATTTTCTTGGTACTTATTACAATTTATAAATTAAACATTATTTTAAAAGCAATACCATTGCAACCAGTGAGTTTGTAATGCAGAAAATTAGTAATAAGTGTTTGACATGATTTCATATCAAACATATGATTTTATGAGATCCATGTAGTTTAGGTGATAGCTATTAATTTTAAATGAAAAAAAAATTATCAAAATACAATAAGTTTGTACATTTTAAGACTGATTTATGAAGTGCGTGAATTTACAGTTAACTAGTGGGACACTAATGAATTTTAAAGTTTATTGTAATTATCCTAAATCAAATTTTAGCTTTAGTTGTTTTCACCCTCCTATTTTAATACCTGCTTTATTTGACTTATATCTAATTGTGGCTGTTTTTTTTCCTCTTATTTCATTATTAAATAATCATGGCTTTTCTAGGAAGGTGAGTGCTGATTTAGTTTGACAATGTATGAGTTAATAAAATACCACAAGCATGGTGTTAAAAGAACATCCTCTGTTCAGTTGCTGCAAATGTTCATTTAAAGTAATGTAGCAAAAAAAATAGCATTCAGTATATCATGCACATTAATAATTACAAAATATTTAATGAATCTAACAATTACAAAGTATGAAATATTCAAATACAATATTTTCCAAATATAACTGCCATAAGCATAATAACAAATAAAAATGATAAGGATCTCTATAAAGAATCAAACAGTTTAGAAATTTTACAAATAGCATCTGGAAAATTTTCAAGGTGATCAATACAGTCAGGACCAGGATTTTCTGTTACATAAGCAACTTGAGGTTTGGAAAACAAAGAACTTTTCTTTGCAGGTTTATAATAATATCTGTAAATACATTTAGCTTTTTCTAATATTTCTATCAATTCCAAAACTTGCACTGGTTGCATTGTCAGGACAAATCTTTCACAAACATCTTTCACGGATACAGAAGGAGTACTGATGATATGACTTAACACAGTATTGAGTAATTCAAAAAACACAGTTTTGTTTAAAGTCCCATCAGGATTTCTCCAACTTCTAGGAGTAAAATAAACTTTCTCACAGGAATCAAAGTAAGTAGCTGATTGTTCGTGATTACAAAGTTGATCCTGATCTGAAGTAACATTTTTATAATCAACAGCACAAACATCACATCGGTTTCGTTCAAATTGTTCTGACCATAAACAAGATTCTAAAAGCCATATTTCAGCATGGAAAATAGACACATACGTAAATGCCATGATGCCTGTACGAATGACAAGAAATGCTTTGCGAAGTAATTTAAGATGATCCCTCCATGATATATCACCTTGAAGCTCACCGAATTCTTCCCAGATAGATCTTTCAACCACTCCTTTTACACCAGCTTGATTAATGGAATGGAAAATAGTTTTAGCATCTTGTAAGGTTTGCTGTGAGTAATCTTTGTACAAAATATTCAAAGAGTCATAACAAGTTTCTTCATTAATAGCTAAAGCAGAAGGTGGTATGTAAAATGTAAGTAGTTCCAAAATCTCTTTAGTCTGATCCTCTGTTAGATGAGTTTTATCATAAGACAGTATATGAGACTGAATAGTTTTTGTGGAATCATGTGGGGTCTGTTCAAGAACTTCTGGTGGATTTAAAGACAAAACAACATTGCTATCTACTCTCATTTGGCAAAACAATCTACAAGAGTTTAAAACAATGTAGTCTTGAGAATGTTGAGTTCGTTCAATTGGCGGTTGTGCCTTTTCTTGCCTTAAGAGATATAAAGCATATCTAGAAGCATTTGAAGTTCGGGGGACTGATTGACCGACATTAGAATCTTCATCAGAAGCCTGATCTTCAGGTGAACATTTCACTTCTTCAATATGGGATTCTGATTTCACGTTTTTTGAAAAAGATGTCGACTCATTGTTTAAGATTTTAGATAATTCAACTGACTCTTTGTCACTCAAAGTATGAATAATGCGTTCCACAATACTGGACCGTGCCTCCTGGCTTAAAGATGTGTCAAACAAAATTATATGCTCAGGTATTTCGGTATGAATCGATAACTGTTGTAGTGCAGCAAGAGAAAGAACAGCTGATGCATAGCCAGGTGGCACATCACCTTTCAACTCCACTCCAGTTTCTGGATTAATCTTAGAAAAATTCTCCAACAGATTATGTGCTTCTTGAAACATTTTAATAGGAAATTTCGTCAATAAAGCATTTTCATATATTACAGAAAATTTGTATGGAGTATGAGAGTTAATACGTTGTGCATCAACAGTATGGTGTGTTTTTTTAATGGCAATAATTTTGTTGCGTCTGAGGTTTGCAATAACTGATTGCAAAAAACTTGATGGGTAAGATTTATAAAGCTGAAGCAACATGTATTTCCAGAGAGAATTATTTTTTGAAATAGACATAACTGAAAGAACAAGAGAACTTAAAACAAACGTTTTTATGTCAGATATAGTTTTGGGATCACGATGTATTTGTTCTTGGTGTAGAATATCTCTAGAGTAAGTTATTTTATATCTTTCATTTAACTCTTCTAAACTATTTGGGAGAGTTATATTCTTACATCGGTCAGCAGGGGGCAAAGTGAATTTTGTTAATAATTTATTTAACAATCGTGTATACATTTCTTTCCATACTTCTACGTTTGTTTTTGGAGGTTTAACCACATTAAACTCTCTAACCAACTCTTCATCTTGATTAGCCTCACCAAGATAAACTGCGACGTTACTAACAGTAGCTGGATTCAACATCATGTATCTCACTCGTCTTTGACAAGCACGAGAACTCTTAGCTTCTGATATTTCAGGTAAGTGTTCATACAACAAATCTCTCACTACAGTATAAGGAACAACAAGATTTTTGCTGTACAAAGGGTCCAAGAATAATGAGGCAACTTTGCATAAAAGTAAGAAGCTATCTTCTTGAGCACACCACTCACAACGGGATTTCTTCATTTTTTTCATAGCTTCTTTATCAACTTCATCATAGTAAGGTAAACGCTTTCGAGTAGTTCTTTTATTGATTGTTCTAATTATTGTTCTTTGCCTTTTCGATACATAGGGAACCGCTGCAGGCTTTCGCTGAGGGGATTTGTTTTGAATTTGCTTTTCTTTTTTAATAGAAAGGGTTGGTTTTGTTAATCTCTGTAGTCTTGATCTGTTCTCAGGTTTTGGAGCATTTTTAGTTTTTAGTAAGTGCTGCAATGTGTATTTCCGTGGAATTTCTTGAGAATCACTTTTGGATTTAATTTCCAAAGACTTTTTCATAGTAGAAGATACCCAATTGCGTTTTATATGCATAAATAATGCAGAATCATAACCACCGGCTCCAAGACCATCTCCTGGAATCTGCCCAGAATCCACAATATCTTCAAACTTCTTACTATCTACGCATTTCTTCAATTCAGGTTTGTAAGCCGCTTCAGTGAGAGAAAAGGTTTTTCCAGTTGCAGAATTGTATCTTCCTAACTGTGTGCGAAAGCAAATACTTTCTAAATCTAGCCAAAAGTTTTCAACATCTGTTAAGGATTTGAATGTATATTGCTTGGTTTCATATTCTAAATTTGTTTGAATGTAAAGGTAGCCAGGGCTAGATACAGTTGTATCTTTAAGTGAAGCATTTTTATGCACGTATAAAAATGCTTGATCTTTTTGTTTTCCTATTTGAGGGCCCATTGAAACTAAGCCCATATAACACAAATTTTTTATAACATCATGTGTTGAAAACAAAAATCTTCTATTGTTGAGCAAAGAATTACGCAAATCTTGAGGTAAATACTTGATGAGATAGTGCTGTTTTTCCTCGTCTTCTAAGTATTCTTTAATGTTAGGAATAGGATAACCTATTGTAACAACTTTCATAAATACAGATAAAGGAATTCTCAAATATATATCAGCAAGAAAACACCAACCTTGTTTTTTCTCATCTGTAAGGTCAGGCAAAGGTGGTAGAAATCTCTTAAAAGTCAAGCTGTCATGATATACACACTGTTCATCGTTTTTTAAAATAGGTCCTTTGTGATCATAAACGAGGTAATATAAAAACTCATGTAAAATTCTAGCTCTAACAAATTTTGGATGATTTACGGTTGAGAAAGTTTGATTAGGCCCTGGTTTAGTATGAAATTTTTCTTTCTCAGGAATGTTTTCCTTTCCAGATTTTGCAGATGCTTCAAACTGACTTTTTTCTTTACTTTTCTCCTTATCCTTATTTACGCAGAAGTATTTAAATTTTGCCTGTTCAATAGCAACCTGAATACATTGATCAGTGGGTTCCACTGAATTATCACATATGAACTCAAGATTAGTTCGCTTGTCTTCCAATTTTAAAACAACTTTAAATATTTTTACCTTCTTTGAATTAGCCAAGCCATGAACAAGTCTTGCGGTAGAGCGTTTACATAACTGATGTTCACTATCCTTTTCTCGTCTTCTCAGTTCTTTTTGCAACTCACCCACAGTTGAGAACTTCACTTCTTTCAAATAATCAAGGATGGTATTGCTGCGTTTCAATTTTTTATAAGTCAACTGAGTTGCACTAGAACTAGGGCAAGGAACTGGTGGCTTTTCTAAGATGCTTATAACTTTTGGTGATCTACCACTAAAAAGCTCAGAATTGTGAAGTTCAAGAACTTGTGAAACAATATTCTGAAAATCAGTCGCTTGAGATGAATCATCCTTTTCTTTTTTGGAAGCCTCATCTTGGATCTCATCATCAAACCTAACTTTCTTCTTAGGTGGTGGACTAGCAACTTCCTCGGTATCTTTTCGTTTAGTTGAAGAAGTTTTTTCGTTTGAGTGAGTCTCATTATTAGACTTTTCATGTTCTTTCACAATATTATAAAGTTCGTTTTCTTTTTCATATATTTTAGCTATGTATTGAGTGACTTTCTGTCGCCCTCTATCTACCAGCATGCTGATTACATTATTCTTTTTCATTAAAACTCGCAATAAATTACGGATATCCAAACGAGGAAGAGTCATTATCCTCCCCAGATCAGCTGAACTAATACCATCAGGACCAGCTTTTTTAATGAGGTCATATATTTGCTGTATAAAGGGATAACCATGATAAACTTTCGAGTAATCAAAATATATGTTAAGTGGTAGAGCTGCATCTTTCCTGTTTTCCTGCTCTTCATTATCATCATCTTTTTCTTCTTCATCATAATGTTTAATAAGTTGAACAACTTTAACAGTTCTTGGAGTACCATTTGTTGTATAATTTTCTTTATAAGGTGCATCTGGGTAAAACTCAGAATGGGGCAAGTCAGTAATTTGTATCCATTTTTGTACAGGGCGATAAAACAACTTTTTAAATGTATTTTTCCTTATACCTAACTCTTGCCGAGCCACTGTGCATGTCTCACGATTCTTGGGCTTCTCTTTTAATAAATCACATAAAGCTTTCATGAAGCACTCCATTTTTGTTTTGCGCTCTACATAAAAACGAGTGAGGTGTAGAAGACAGCCATTTGATGTTGTTCCTCTTTTATTTTTCAAGTAATGAATTTGTTTTGTTATAAGGCCCTTATTAGAAAGCTTCTTCCTATAGTAATGCAGTTGCTTACAGAATGAAGTCTTCAAAGACAGAAGACCATCATCACCTTGAGTTACTTCACCTAAATAGCGAGAGCGACCAATTCTTTCAAGTAAGCAATAAGCTTCAAGTGTAAAATCCAAAAGAGGATTAGATTCTGTACCAATTAAGGCAAGCAGTCTTGCTTTAGGTGATGAAACCAGCACAAAATTTTCTCCCCACTTTTCATAAACTTGAGTAAATGATAACAATAAATGCTCATCATTTCTAACAGCTGATGTGATGCATTTTCTGGTTTTATAAGTTGCACAGGATCCTCTAATTTCACCATCTTTAATAGGAACAATAGGAAAGTATGAATCCTTAAGTTTTTCAACAGGTTCAATAACTATACCCAGCTCCTCATCAATATTTGCATAGCGATTATATGGTGGTACAAATTCTCTGGGTTCAGGTAGCTCATAAAATTCAATTTCTTTATGAACTGCAATACATTCCCAGAGAAAAGCTTTAGAGTCTTCATCTAAAGCAATAGGAAAATGAGGACGGTCTTCTAGACGTTTCCACAACATTGTCAAGGTTATTCCATCTAATCCTTCTAATGACACCTCATCTACCATACTAGAAAGGAAATCCAAATCCATTTTTCTGTTGTTTTTTCTCGGATACTTTTCTTTATACAATAAAAATCAGGAACAGAGTTTCTGGAAAGAAATAATAAGAATAATTACTAAAATACACATTTTTTTAGCAGATTTAAAACATTAATTTATAAAATTAAAATAAAACAAACATAAAATAATATATGATATATACCAAGCTTAATTGTGGAAAATATTTAATTCCTTAATGTAAAGATTAGCTCTGATACCTATATTATTTTTGATACAGTTAAAAAAAAAACAAAGTACTCCTGTAACAAATAGTTGTTTGCTAAGGGGGTCATAAAGGTTGTGGTTGTTACAGCTCGGAAAAAACGCCTTGAACATCATGTTTGATGCTTATGAATTAGTTGATGAAAACGTTAAGACTTGTGGTATTGATGGTTCGTTAAATAGTTGCAAAGGCTAAAGAAGAGCAAAGTGATGCGAATAAAGATGGCAAAAAAGTAACCACAGCTATTGCCAACATTTGTAAAAAGCCTCAAAGACTTCAAAATAATGAGGGACTTTATGTATTCACACCAATTTACAAAAAAATGAACAGCAAACAAATACATAACAATAACAATTTAAAACAATTACATATGTCAAAAATTTATTTTTTGAACTGAAAAGAAAAGATAAGGTTCAAAAAAATTTCAGAATCCAGAACCTGCTGCATATAAAAATTAATTTGTTCTAAGAACGTATCTAATTTTTTAATGCAGCAAGTATTCTATTCATCTATTTATAAAGCAGCTGATTTTGCTAGTAATCAATAACTCATAACCAGTTTACAGATTTTACAATTAGAATCTTTTAAATCACCCTTCTCTGTTTCATTCTAACTCAGACTCTTTAATAACATCAAAGAAAGCAAACCACACCTGTAACGTTGTTCCTTTTTGTTAGTGAGAATAAGTCATCCATATACTAAAAGTCTTTCAGAATTTAAAAAGAGAGAATATTTTAAATATTCCAATACGAAAATGTACGACTTTTTTCATTTTTAAAACAAAGACATTCATAACATTTAATTTTACAAAACAACAATAATTATTCTATTAAAAGTTGATTTTAACCTATTTTGATATTATAATGATTCAGATCTTGCAGATTTATTTTAAAAAACGAATTATTTCATAAATCGGAAATTTAATTAGCAGTGGTCACTGTATATATTAAATTAATAAATGAGTTTATTCATTGTAAATATGTTTGCAATAAGTAAGTAATTTTATCATAATTTTTAACTTATTGTAAGTTTTATAAATTTACAAGTCTATTTTTTTTTGTTACATCACACATAATTTCAAATCCTTGTTTGATATTTTATGTAGAGCCACATTTTTTGTTTTCCCATGTCTATATCTTTAAATAAATAGTACCATGAAAAATGATCAATTGAGATTCTATTGCATACAATTTTCAATAAAAGCTGGTTGATAAAGAGAATTTCATGTATAACATAAATGTTAGCTAATTTGTTTCGGATATAAACATAATGCCTCTTTCGTAGGGCACAATATTATTTATTTCCTTTTTTAGAAATAGATTGTTTACTAACAATAATTTAAAGAAACATATTTAAGTTTAAAATATAGAATTTCTTATAGCCCCATCTGAGCAACCCCTTTGCAATATAAATTTAAAATTTTCCCAATTTACAACTTGTTATAAAGCAACAAGTTTTATTCCTCATATTTATTTCATATGAATGAAAATGCTGTTACTAAAATGCAGAATGTGCATTTAATAAGAGGAATGAGTAGGCCATTCTTAACATATCATAATGCAATTTTTGAATAGATTGTTTAAACAAAATTACAAAAAATATTTGTATTACTAAGCATTAATTATGCAACATTTTCTAAGGAAAAGTCTTATTAAAGAAGGTGGAAATATTATTTCAAAGAAGTCAAATAGAACTGGACTTAAGTTACAAACAAATAGATCAAAGTAATAAATTAAAAGAAAATGAAAAAATTAACATAAAATCTTACTTTCACTAGCATTTCTCTCAGTATTTCAAGAAAAAATTGAAATTTAAGCAGATAACTTCTATTCAGTCACATTAATGATAGAAAATCATCCCTGCAAACAAAATAAAAATAACTTATTTCTTAACATAAATAAATTATTTTGATCACTTACTATTAATTAAGTGCATAACTTTCTGACAAACTACCTGAAAATATGCATATTTCAAAATAATTAAAATAAAAATGAAAGTTTTTACATCAAAATCAATTTTTTATGCAAAAATTACAAAAATTTACATATTGTTTATTTATTGCAATAGATTTCAAAATTCCACCACCACATTACAATAAAAAGATAAATTTTTGATAACATTTATTGATTCTAAATAAATAAAAATATAAAAAGCACTTGATTAGAACAATACTGAGTTAACTTTATTATTTGCAAAATATGAATAAATTTATGCTTCTTATGATAAGGAGTCCATGAGAAGAATTCATTAATATTTCTTTAAATCACTAACCCTTTAATTAAAAATCTAACACGATTTTTATGTTCTTATATTTTTAAATATTTTTTGAGTGCATATGGATGTTTAAAAGATATTCTAACTCATTTTTGGCAATTTATAAATGAGTTACAATTGTACAGTTAGAATTTAGTTTCCCATAAATTAATTCAAATGATAATGCAAATAATTTGGATATAAAAAGTTTGTAAATTCATACAATCTAAGAACAGAATTTCCCAAAGAGAAATTTGTATAACTGTCAGTATAATGAAAGTAAAGATATATAATCCAAGGTAAAGTAAAGCCTAAGTAAAGATAACAAAGCCTGAGCAAAGATATATAACACAAAAAAATGATAGATTATTGATGGACCTTGCTTTAAGACCAACCATGCTTTATAGAAATTTGTTTAAAACAAAAATCCGCTTTTATAAAATGTAAATAAACAAAAACATATAGTTCACATTTTTTTTAAGGAAATAAAATATTTTATTCATACAATCTTTTAAAACACTTAACTTTTTTAGTGAAAGGTAAGACGACAATCAAGCAAAGAAACAAAAAGTGTATTTACTTTCAGTTTTATTCCTCAACCATTTCTATAGAATTTTCAAACATGTTACCTGAACCTTCCAATCAGCCCCTTTAAAGGACATAGCTGATTCCCTTCTACAAATGAAATGAAAACAAAATTACTACACAGAATTAATATATTTTATGTCAGCATTACTTGGCAATACGTATAGGCATAATATATGTAAATTGGTTATTTAATAGTTTATTTAATAGTTTATTTATTGAAAATTGTCATTCTCCCTTTTTAAAATTGTCCTCAAGCGTTATAGAAACAGGTATAGCTACGATAATTTCTGTTTTTAAAACCAAAATAAGTGACAGATATTTTTAAATTTAATGACTAATACTTATTTATTTTACTACTCAATGATTATTTAATTTACAATTGCTTTAAATTTTAGTTTAAATACATAAATCTAGATATATCATTCCATATAACAGAAATTATTCATTTTAAATAAGTCTATGTATATATTTTTTTAAATATGATTTATAATATTAAAATTTTATGAAATAAAAAACTAAAAGCAATAGCGTAATTGCTTTTCCTTAAAGAAGATTTTATCACCAAAGCATTGTCTGCTGCAGTCATTTCTATTAAATTAATAGTTTTTCGAAAAAGTTTCTTTGGATGTGAATTTGATATAACATTACAAATATATATATATATATATATATATATATAAAGAATGGCAAGTTCCTTTTACAGTGAAAAAATAACTGCCCTAGAAGAAATGTTTTTTCCAACCAAACTTAAAAAGAAATATCAAATATTGAAATAATTTTTTAAACAATTTATTGTTACTATTTAGTTTAAATAATAATAAATATAGATTTTAAAATTCTGTGTGAAACTAAATTAAGTTACTTGAAAGTAGCAATTTTTTAAAAAGAAAATGAAGGAAATGTTTAATTTTATAGTACTACATTAATTTGATTTGTTTAAATTTTAGTTACTATTATAATATACAGTACTCAGCAATTGAAATGAGGACATTTATAGCTTCTTCAATTCACTTAGTTTTTAACAGTGTATTTCCACTTTTTTTATGTGTCCTGAAATGGGTTCCTTCCGGACAATATGTTAATCCTTATACATATATATGTAGGATTTTGTGGAGCATAAGAGGGAATAACAACAATAATTTAATAATCAAACTTAACACTTAATAGATAAAAAAGGAAATAGGTTTAACAGTGACATGATTGGTGAGAGCTGCCTTCTCGATTGATCGCCGCATTGAAAGTGAAATTAGATTGTTCTATGATAAAAAATTAAGAATTAATAATAAATTTGGGACTTTTCCAGCCTGGATTCGCTGCGGGACTCTCGCTAGCACAGTTCAATGAGGAAGTGGATGATGAAATTTCTTCAAGTATTACATGATGATGGCTGCTGCAATCTGTTCAAATATTACACTATTACACTCAAATTCGACATATATATATATATATATAAAGAGAGAGAGAGAGATAATATTTTTTACTTTCAAAAATAAATTCCCTATTTTATACAGAATTCTAAATTGGCAAAGCAAAAAATTAAATAACTATTTTCTAAATGCAACAATATCAACATACTTCAGCTGTTGTACTACTGTGTCAATTAAGTGAATATAAAACAGAAATTACATTCATAAACATTATCAATATTGCCCTTCATTTCCATATCCTGATAATTATGTAAGCTTTGCTTGCTCTAGGCAATAAGAAACTGAGAAATAAAAAACAGTTGTCAGGTATAGATTAAGAAACGATCTGAAAGATGCAACAGCAAATGGATAATGCCGGTTGTATAGAAGTGTCTAGTATTCTAAGCATATATTTAAGAACAAAAGAGAACTAAAATTTTTTATTATTCCAAAATTACATTTTTGAACTTATTAGTGAAATATTTATTGAAATATTACCTATGATTTAAATTACATTTTGAATTTGTTACTAAAATGAGCTATTGCCTATTAAAAAAAAATTTCCACAAAAACTTAAAATCAAACCTTATTAACAATCAGAATCAGCAGATTAAATTTTAATCCAAAATCATTGAGATAAAATTTATTTTCCTTTGGAAACAAACCAGAGAAGCATCAAATAATTCCTTTGGAAACATCAAGTAATACATATGTGTCCACATAGCCCATAAAAAACATTATGGGCCATTATACATTTTTTAATTCATTTTTTTATAATCTGCATTTATTTTAAAGAAACTGAAACCTCTACGTGTTTTCTTTAAAACATTTGACAATTTAAAAACTATTTGGTGATTGTATTTGGAGCGACAGTTCACATTAGGAAAATCTCCCCACAAAAGTCAAACATTAATAAATAATGAAATTACTTAAAATATAGAATAATTGGGAGTAAAGTATCTGATGACATATTAAAACTTTGTTGCAATATCCTTTGTCAATAAAATCTGAGTTTAAAAGATCCATTCTATACAATGATATAAATTTAAATGCATTTACTTTTACTACAATTGAAATTTAGAAACAATGCATAGAAAGAAAAAAAATTTTAAAAGACGCTATGACTACTGACAGCAAAAGTCATCTTGAATATACACAGATTCATCATCAAAGACTATGAGTGATCTCGTTATTATTACAGATTAATACTGTGAAGCAATTTTCTTACATTTGAGAAAACTTTATCTTAGTTGAGTAATATTTTCGTAAAACTCACCCAATCTACACTTTCTAAATTATTTACAAACATGTAAACGCAAAGTTTCGCTTTTTTTACTTATTTAGAAATTAAAGTTATAGTTATTGAGAAAAATAAAATATGAAGGGGATCACTTGTAACCTCTAGTTAATTGAACACAACCACATCTTTTCAATTTTTAAAAGAACTACAATTTCTTCAAAAAATATTTAATTATTTATTAATCTCATTAGAATTTCACTATAAATTGAGATATGAAATTCCGGATTATTTTTCAAAGTGAGCTATACGCTATTATGCATTCAGAAAAAATAAATCCAGAAACCGGACTTCAAAAAAAATTTGTCAGTTTGTTTGATGAGGTGTTAGTTTTGAGATGCTATAGATCTGATATTTTTGCTGACAATTACAAGTCAATTCATATACTTTTTCCCTTCCTCACTGAGCTTAAAAATCGCTTTAAAATGAGGACTCTGTGTGTTTTGAGAAGAATTATGAGTGTACTTATTTTGTTAAACTTATTTATTTTTATTTCTGCTCATAGTCACGATCATGGTCATTCCCACGAGCATCACGATGAAATACATTCCCATGGTCATCATCACGATGGTGTACATGCACACGATCATCACCACCACAATGAGAAACCATCATTTAAGTATTCTCAGCAAGCAAATCAACAATTTGCAAAAGCTAAAGAAGACATTCCTTCAAAGAAACCTCACAAACCAAGGGATGAGGCAAATTTATCATTATGGTTACAAGGGATGGGATCCACCTTTATCATCAGTATATTCCCTTTTTTTATTTTATTTTTCATTCCCATTCACAGACGCGATGAGCATCAGAATCTTCTGAAAATTTTGCTTAGTTTTGCTTCTGGTGGTCTGTTAGGAGATGCATTTCTTCATCTCATTCCACATGCTCTTCTTGCTCATTCCCTAACTGATGAAAGTCCTCATTCGCACTCTCATTCACATTCTCATTCTAAATCAAAAGATAGTGGAGATTCTGATGTGCATGGTCACGACCTTAGTGTTGGCTTAGGAGTATTGGGTGGCATATTGGTGTTTCTCATGGTAGAAAAGTTTATTCGCATAGTTAAAGGTGGCCATGGTCATTCACATTCACACGCATCTAAAGAAACTGTAAAACCTAAAGAGGCAAGTACTGAAGTTAAAGAGAAAGTTTCTGACAAGGATAGTACTCATGAAGAAAAGAAAGAAAAAAGTGATGAAGCAAATGAAGATTCAAATACTCAGCTTGATAAATCTGATCACGGTAAAGTTCAAATAACTTCAATATCCTTATTTATCTCATACTTTATTATTGTCTCTAGTTTAATGAATCTTGTATATTTTTATGTTTAGCTAAAATATTTTTTTATTAACTAACTAAAATATTTTTAATCAGTATTGCAAAATAGATTTGCTGCACAGCTGAAAATCTATTTAAGCATTTGTGAGGAGATTGGGTCATATTTTTAACTTATTTTATATTTAAATAGAATGAGGCAAGGGGCTTTAATGAAAGAAAAACAATTACTTCAACTCTTTAAAGAGATGGTTATTTTTTGTAAAACTGGTTACCACATCCAGTGTTTTCATCATAGAAAAAAAATGGGTGAGAATTTCTCACCCTTTCTCAAAAACAGGGCGAGTTTTCAAAAAGTTAAGTGAGATTTCTAAGAGCTAAAAAAACACAAAAACTCTCGAAAATAAAATCATTTCTTTAATTATAATACATCATCATAGAAGATTTTGCCTTTACAAGGTATTCGTCCATCTTACATTAGTGCATAAAAAATTTGAACGTCTTGCATAAAGAAACCTTACCTACGGTAAACAGGTGGTTGCAGAGAAATGTGTTCTGAAAGGGGTTCTGTGGTTCGGAGGGGTTGTGTTCTGTTGTTCGAAAAGGTTCTGAACAATACTCGCAAATAGGGAAGCTAGATAACGGGGCAGATGTTGAAAATAATGAAAGATCCAGGAGGAAAAGTGAAACGGATTTTATTCTAAATGGCGTAATTCAAAGCTTTTTCTAAAATGCGAGAAATTCGCGAATTTTGAAATTGATTTATAGAATGAGCTAATTTCTCGCGGTAATAATTTTTTAATGCGAGATAGTAGAAAAATATGCGAGATTCTCGCATTCTCGCGCTGTAGTGAAAACACTGACATCTCAAAAATGGGAATAATTGCATGAAAAAATAAAGTGTGACATAACTCATTAAGTTATACCCAATTATATAAAGGGAAGGTAAAGCATACTTAAAGTATGTTATAAAACTAAAGCATTCTTATCAAAGCGGTTATAAGGATGAGACTTTTGTCCAGCTTTATATTTCAAAGATTGTAGGGGTTGCAGTGCCTGTGATATTGATAGAATTTTTTCAATTTTTATGTTACAATTATAGCAGATTTTTTTTTTTTTTTTTTTNTTTTTTTTTTTTTTTTTTTTTTTTTTTTTTTGATTAAGTAAAATTAAAGTGTTCCCCAATAGTTGTCTGATCTCAACATAAATTTTTTTTATTGATTCTCAATATTTTTTGTTACTAATTATGTTCAAGGGAGTAGAGTATGTCTGACTGCACGAACAAGGCTTTAAGGGAAATTCAGGGAAAATTTTTGGTCTAATCAAACTTCTACAAAATTTTTGTTAAAAAATGTGTCATTTTGAAAACTTTTTCTTGTTAAAAAACATGTCAATTTGTGTATTTATTAGTTTAAATTCCTTAAGTTAATAAGTGGGACCTTTAATTTAATTTAGAAAATTATTACTATTTCAATATATTTGATTTCTGTTATATGCTCGTTTATTCAAGAATTATGTAAAATCAAATTAATTTTGTTCTTATATAAACTTTATTTTCCAAAAATATTTTGAATAAATTATTGTACTAAAAAAAAAAGCTAAAGGTTTGTGAAAATTTTGGATCCAAAAAGAAACTTGATTAGGCTCTGAGAATTTTCATCGCTCCTGCTGCTTATGTGTATATGACTATTTCTAATATTAGTGAACTAATGTTAATTATATTAATGTATAATTAGTTCACTGAATAGTAGAAATTATAATTGGAAAATTATAAATGCTTGTTTAAATGAGTTAATAATGTTTTCAATCATTTTATTGATTTTCTTCAATTATTTTAGGGGATGATTTTTCAAGGATTTTATTAAAGTACTATTAATATTTAGTACAACTATTAGAATAAATTTCCTAATTACATGTTGTTTTAATAGCTTTAATATGTCTACTTTCTAGACTAAGCACCTCAGCATCAATTGAAAGAATAGTTTTGATTTTCTGTCTTATTCATAGAAAACTGAACATTGAACTGGGAGTATAGAAAGCTTCGAACCTAATTTTTTTATTTTAATTGTCAAAACAAAAAGAGTTTCATATCAAAATAATTTAAGAATATAATTGATTGATCACTTGCAATTTTTTATGTATGTTTATTTAGAAATACTTCTTATTTATAATAACTAATAAGTATCCTTACATTAAAATTTAGAGGTTTTGACACTTGTCAAAAACTATGGCAAAAAGTGATTTTTGACATGACAGATAAAGCCCCAGAAGCAGAAAGTGCCTAAAACTGTGACGTACGTCGCAGAACAAACAAAATCCTGCAGAACAATTTGTATCTTGAATAGAATTCTCTTTAGCTTTGACCACTTGCTGTTTCCCTGGAGTGATGTTGCTTTAAAAGAGGAACATTTGTCAGTATTCTCCCTCTCCCATATCTTTGCCATTCTGAGGAGGAAATTAAAGAATAAGCTTTTGGCTATAACATTTTTATAAAATGGATGTATCAGTGTTTAGCAGACAGCAGGAGAAATCGATCACCAATTTATCAAGAAAGCTTCTAAATCAAGCCGTAAAAGATTTAAATTCCGAGATTTCCAATTTCATAAAGTTTATGACTTTTATATTTTCCATTCCCATTTCAGAAGCAATTTGTGAATCGTGGGGATCCACGATTGACAGAATTGTTTCTGAAAGACCAAATGCTTTTGATGGAGATGAAGAAGTTGTTGGAACAACAGCCAGCGAATGTTTGTGTTTGCAAATGGTGCACCATTTGGGCACTTGTCCCTTCGAAAGATTTTTAAGGCAGCCCTTATTTTAATGTTCGGACCTTCATATCATAGGTATTTTATTAATAATTCATCATCGTCGTCATTAACAAAATTTGTACTTCAAAAGTGATTGAAAAAGTAACAAATCTAGAATGTTTGCCTTGGTTTAAAAAATAATGTAGTGTATCTGTGTATGATCCTGTATTTTAATAAGTGAAAATATAGTATTTTAACTTAAAGTTGACTTTTTTTCGCAGTGAAATGCTTGCAGAACATTTGTATAAATTAATGAGTCCTGTTGCAGAACATTTGAAAATATTCTGCTTATGGGGATAAAGCCTTGGTTAAAACTGTCAATTGTCAAAAACTTGCCATCCCTTCTGTGTTTACAGATCTCAATTAAGACCAAAAATAGTCTGTTTGAAATTTTATATAAACATGTTACAGTTAAAAATATTTTCATGTTCAGAAATCCTTTAATAAGAGTTATGGGCATCAGAGGTCTGTCTACCTTTTGATGAGAACAAAATTAAAATACGCAATCACTCTAGTTCTCTAAATTTCCCGAACAATAAAAAATAATTCTTCAATTTGCTATAAACAAACATAAGCAAAAGGATTAATCTCTCTATTGATTTTACCTCATGAGTTTGAATCTATGAGAATTTCCTTTATTAGAGGATGTTTCCGCATCGTGAAATGTTGCAACAACTTAAATCACGGAGGCGTCAAATTAATTTTAAACTTGCAAGCTTAAAGACTTGTTAGCCAAGACTTAAAACCAAGACTTGTTAGCTAATATTAGCAGCTAATTTTAGGAGGATTTTCAATTGAGAATTTCCAATTTACAAGTTATAAATTTTTCAGTTAAAAATCAGAAATCAATCAACTCTAATATATTGATTTTTTGCTGCTTTTACAAAAATTTGTACTCCACTGGGATTTGCAAAATAATCTAAAAAGAACTGCGTGAGCAATTCTAGATTTGCTGAGCATGATGCAGAGTTATTTTAGTGTATAAGTGCCGAAAGACACATATTGATAAGAAAGTCTTTTTCTGAACACAGGACAAAAATATGACAAAAAATAACTAGATATGCTTTTAAATCAAAATTATTTCTTAACAATAGCATTCAATGCATTCTTACAAAAAATTTAAGCATCTTGATATATTTTCTCCCATAATTACTGTTTTTGAAACATTTTTAGAATTTTTAATTACTTTTATAGTTGGATAAAACAGTCACAATCTGAACTTGAAAATGAAATCAGACAATATTAGTCGTAATTACTACTCTAGTATGCATGTGAAAGGTGCTACAAACTCTGTCTGACGTACACAGAAATAAAGATCAAAGAAATTATCTCTGGGCAGCCTCTTAATCGTCTGCCTCATGTATACTTAAAGAAAGCAAACTGCTGGAGGCATAGACCATCACATTGAATTTTTCAAAAAAATTTTATATGTTTAAAATTTTAATTCTTATAAACTATATGACTCATTTTGTAGCTTTATATTTTATGATTACTACTACTTCAAGATCATGTAAAAAAAAAGTTTTATGCCTTACAATTCTAAATGTTTCAGCTATTATCAAATAAAAAACAAAATGCAACAAATAATTATTAAAGTAATATAATATAAAAACTTAATAATTGTATTCAAAAGAATTTTTGATTATTCGCTTCAAGATATGGGAAAATACCCAAAATAAAATTACTATAAAGAACCCAAACTTTCATCTGCTCTTCTGACTGAACTATTTTTTGTGTTTTACGGTTACCTCTTACATTTTGATGAATCTGATTATCGTTTATTGCTCTTTTGAGAGAAAGGTTAAAATGACAGTTTTCTATGTTATTTTATTTTTGTAAATGTTTGTTTTGTTATTTTTTGATGTGGTTCTTTTTTTATTGAGGTTTATTTCCTTTTAATACATATTTTTGCTTTTTTTATACATAATAATTATTTTTATAATAAATTTTTGTGCAAAAAAACATATACATTATTTTTTGTGCAAAATAAAACAGAAATATTTTTTTTTTCTCAAAATGTTGAGTTCTGACTCCCCAAATATCTAAAGGGATTGGACCCCCAGTTGCCACTCTCATGATTTCAGGTGTTGCAGATACAGTTTAAAATAACAATGTTTTGGTACAAGATTCTTAACTGGTTTCAGTTGCACTTTTTACTCATTACAATAATTTAGTTTCATTTTTTTTTCCATCTATCTTTTTTTGATGGGAATTAAAAAAACTAGCTGCCAGAGTTATTATTCTACAATATTATTTTTACTAATCTCTTATTCTACAAAGCTTTCTTTTTTTTTTTATAGATGAAGAAGATATTATGGTTGCTGGTTATTTAAATCTGGCAGCAGATTTTATGCACAATTTCACTGATGGATTAGCTATTGGAGCTTCATATCTTGCGGGTCAAAGTATAGGATTAGTAACTACTGTGACCATTTTATTACACGAAATTCCACATGAAATTGGTGACTTTGCAATTCTCATACAGTCAGGCTGTACTAAACGAAAGGTATTCATTTAAATTATTTAATTTTTTAATACATTTAAAATATATTTTTTATTAATTTCCATATCAAAACAAACTTGACTTATGAGCAATATAAATTAGTTTTGATAAAACTGTACACTTGCTAGTATTGCCTAAAATCAAAAGAAAGGCTTTTGGTTTGAAAAAACCTTCAATTATAAATTTATTAAATGCAGTCAAACTTATATTATCTGTCTGCCTTTATTTAATAAAATCTCTTGTGAAACAGGGAATTTTTTTTTTTTTAAAGTTTTTTTTTTCTGTTATTTCAAGCGTAACTTGAATTTAACAAGAAATAATTTTTCATAACTATAACTTGCTTAAAGATTATTTTCGTTAAAAACTAAAAATTTAAAATCTGACACTGTAGAAATTTCATTACATTCTAAAATATTTTAAAAAATCTTTATTTTATGTTGTTCAAAAATTGTATAACAATCTGAGTTCTCTCACCTGTCTTATCATGGATTATTTTGACACCCATTTGAGCCACAAGGTTGTAGAGCATTGAAGGATTAAAAATTTAAAAAAATTGTGGAGTTATTACAATAGCTGAGAGATGATGTGGAACAAGGCATTTGATACATTCAACTTCCTGTTGCTTAAGTGTCTTCTTGTATGTTCCTAATAAAAATATTTGAGTCTCCTGAATTTTTTATGTCATGCATTTCAAACAAAGCCATAAAACATTACAAAGTGAAACAAACAAGGCATACTCTTTTTTTTTCCCCTTTTCAATTTAAATAAAAAATCAGGAGAAAGCTAGCTGTTAAACATTTCCTAGTTGATTGTGAACTATGATAGCTTTTATTTTAGATCCTTTTGATAAACTCTTAATTTAACCAGATTGCTGGAATTTCTTCAGTCCATATGTTCTCACTATAAACAAGTTCGACTGTATTTATAATAGCATAATTTTTGACAGGGCTGTTCCAAAAGAAATTTAGAGTTTTTAGATGTAAGTGGTTTGACACAAACTTTTTCATGAAAATATTTAGAATGTATGTTTAATACAATTCCTTTTGTATCCTAGAAGTTGCCAATGAAGTAAAATAAAATATATGTCTTGCCATTTCAAGTTTTAAAAAAATAAATTGTACCTATTAAATAATTTTTTTTTAAATGTCACTGGACAATCAACAAAGCTTCAATTTGTCTTCTGTAACTTTCTTTTTTTTAGTTTTTATTATCTGACATATTTCAAAATTGAAGAATTGTGTATTTTTTCAAGGGAATCAAAATTTCGATCAAAATCAATTGAATAATTCCTAAGGAGATCGAATTTTTAAAAAGCCATATATTTAAAATTCAATTTTTCTTGAACTGTTCAACTGGTTTTGTTCAAATCTTGTAGTTTACCTTAGAATGTTTTATTATTTAAAATTATGTAAAAATTTGTATACATTACAATTCAAAATTATTCAGATTATTTTTTGCAAGGAATTATCTTTGGACAAACAAATTTTATAATTGTGTGCAAAACAGGGATAAGATTTTTCCGCTTTTTATCGGATTTCCGCCTTTTTCGCTTTTGTCTCTCGAATTTCAGCCTTTTTATCAAAAACTCTGAGTCTCTAAAAGTTTTTTTTTTTAAAATAAATATTCCGCTTTCTCTGAGAATTCAGCCGTTGAAATAGAATAATTATATTTCTTTCCGATTTTCAAAGATAAACAGAAAATTCAAACTATGTAGCTGCCAACCCTTCCACATTGTTAATAATTTTAGCTATTTTCTCCACTTTTACGTGTAGAAAATAAGATTTTCCATATTTTTACCCGCCCGCTAGATAGCTTATATTTTCGTAATTCAGATGTCGCTGCATTTTAGTATCAAACAGTGATTTTTCTTATTTACCTCATTTAAAAGTTGTGCATTGCGATTCTTATTTATGCAATTTCAATATTATACATTGCAGTTCTTATTTACGAGGTTTAAAAATCCAATATCGCTATTTATATTTATGCTTCTTTTTTTTTTTAATCCTATGTAGCAATTCGAGTTTACGTGTTTTTAAAATCGTATTCACGCGAGTTTAAAATTCAATGTCGTGTGATTATTTTATGCGGCTGTAATAACAAACATCGATTTTCGTACTTATACGTGATTTAAAAATTAAGCTTTTCATTGGTATTCACGGGATATAGAAATTATGCATTGTGATTCATATTTACGCGATCTAAAAATTAGGCATCATGATTTGTATTTTCGCATTTTTGAAATCCAACATGGAGTTTCATATTCCCGTGATTTCAAAATCCAATACTGTGAATCCTTTATCGCAATTCTTATAAGAAGTAAGTTTTTTTTCTTGAATTAGGTACTATAAATGTCGCTTTTTTTTTTATCGACAACTATTGGTATATGTATAGGCGACATCAGCGAAACTAGATGAGAATATTGTTACTGATATTTTTGCTATAAATCACGTAATAGTATTTATTAAAAAAAAATGAAATGTTAATGTATGTTCTCAGTAGTTTAGTGTGCTAAGCTAGGCAGAGATAATTGACTCCTTTGTGACTGAAGAAAAATATAATTTCCAACTTTATTTTTTCAATTTGTAATTTTACTTTTTACTAAATGTTAAGTGTCAATGTAATTATTCATATATTAATAAATTAGTACACAATTTTATATCAACACATAGTTATTTATTATCTTTATTATCTTAAATCGTCTGGATTTTATTTTGAAATAATTGCACTCACGTAAGATTTACTCACGTGAAAATTCAGCTTTTTTGCCTTTTGGCCAATCTCATCCCTGGCAAAAAAATTTCGATTCGCTTAAAAAGTTTTCAAGATATGGCGAAATATGCAAAATCATTCAGGGTACTTTACTACTTTCCTGACCAAGCTTTCCAAAGCATGGCTACCTGAGAGTCAGAAATCCAAATTTGTTTAAAAAAAGTATGTTTATTCAGAGAAAGTATGAAGTAATTAGCATATCTGAGGTCACCCCCATGAACCATTAAAATATCTCAATGTACAGATAATCCCTTATTTTAAAAAAAAAAAAAAAATGCAAGCTCCAGTATACTAAAGTAATTGTTTTATTAAATTGACTCCAAATTTAAATAGATTATTAATCTTTTTTATTATTATTATTCAGGCTATTATGCTGCAGTTGCTTACAGCAGTTGGTGCTTTAACTGGAACTGCATTCAGTTTGTTTGCTGGAGGTTTGAATGCAGCAGCCACAAACCTTATCCTTCCTTTTACTGCTGGTGGTTTTATCTACATTGCAACTGTTTCTGTCATTCCTGATCTCCTGGAAGAAACTAATTTTTGGCAGTCAGTTAAAGAAGTGATAGCCTTAATAATTGGTGTATACATGATGGTACTTATTGCGAGTTATGAATAAAACTCTATGAACAAGAAAAACTTGCATATTTTCATCAACTAAGTGGAACAAAAGTACATTTCTTAAAATATTTTTATGGAAAAAAATATTCTCTATGTTCTATCTACATTTTTTGTTTTATGCTGCAGTATTCTGCTTTCAATGTGTTAAAAAAATGAAAACAGTGAAATATTCTTTCGTTTAAATTATTGTAATAAAAATGATATTTTGTTTTAACCAATGATCTCAATTCCTTGTTTAATGTTTTATTTAAAAAACTAACATCCCATAAAAATCTTTTTGTTATAGCTCTATTTGGATTAGTTAAACTGTATCAGTTAACAGGGTTGGGTTTTTGCCGTCAAAAACTGGTTTTTGCCATGACGGTGGTAAAAACCGTCAAAAACCTACTGTTTTCTTTCATTTATGGCATATAGCGGACAATATATTAATTTCACATAATTGCCTTTATAAATGAATGTTGTAAATGATTGCTATTGCGATTATATACATGTATTCTTATAGAAGGATATACATTCATACAGAAATATTGTAATATACTTATTGAAAATAGTGATACTTACTTTTTTCATTATAGCTTGATTTGCAAAGGATTCAAAATTTTGCACTTCTTAATTGTTAGAAATAAACAAACAAACAANCCCAACTATGTTAGATGCCAAGAACTAAAAAGAAGAATTTAAAATTTGGCATTTCTTAAATATTAGAAATAAGCTAAACAAAACTTTAAAAACTTGTAACTACTAACAAACACTAAGTCAAGAATTACTGCTATTTTGTCAAGTTAAAAACTTTTATTCAGTTGAAAAAGCACATTAAACAAAACTTAATTACAAACAAAGTTACATGTTCAGTAGTCGGGGTCACTGTGCCAAAGCATACGATAGCAAGTGACTAATTTTGCTCATTTTTCATTGCCCAGACGATTTCTGAGTTTAGTATGGATGAGTCCAAAATTCGAAAAGATTCTTTCAATGGATGTGGAACTGGATGGGCAAGACATAAGCGCTTGAATTAATTTACAAAATTAATAAACTCAAATAAAAATACAGTTTTACCAAAACTATGGGTTTTTGACATGACGGTAAAAACCGTCTTGTGTCAAATACTTGCCAACCCTGTCAGTTAATAAACCCAGTAATTTAGTTAACCTAGTAAATAAAATTACATTTATAAAGCCTGAAAAACAATTCTCAATAGAATTAGCAGTAGTTAGTAAACAAAATACATAAAGAGAAAAATATAAAATTTTCCCAATCTCCATTCTAGCCCCATCTATGAAAAGACCTTTTTTTCTGGTGCTTATGCTTTATTTATTTATTGAATAGTTGTTTTTTTTCCTTGAATGAATAACCTGTGGTAAAGCATTTCCTCAAACTGTATTAAACCAGCTATTTGTGACTGTATTTGTCAATTTTTTTTTTTAATAAAGCTAAAGTCACTCTCTTCTCCATTTAAAAAATGCAGCCAATCTACACCATAAAACACTGTAAAAAAATATTTTATTTATACAATACAAACTTTATAAAAATGTATTTAATGGTTAATTTAATTCTTCATGTCTATTTATAAAGCAGCGATTGTGTTGTGAATGATTTCAATACATTGTGTCATCTGTTCTTTATTTATTACCAAGGGTGGAGAAAATCGAATGATGTCTCCATGGGTGGGTTTGGCTAGAAGACCTTTGTCACGCAATTTAATGCAAATATCCCAAGTATCAAAACCTAAAGAAACAAATGAATGTGTCATTAATAATCTTTTCAAAACATTGTCATTAGATTAGTAAATGATTTGATTAGTGAAACAAAATCAACTTTTATTTTTAAAACAATTTTAAATGGGAAACAGAGTGCATAGCGTTTTTTAAAAGCCCTTAAAGGTGCTTTTTTCACTGGGTGTATTTAAAAAGTGCTTAATTTTCCCTTTTTCAAAATGGGATTTTTCCTTTACTGTGTTGATTTTTGCTTCGAGTTATGCAAAAAGGCACAGTTCACATTGTTCTATTCAACGTTTTCACAATTAATTCAACCCCAATCTATTTCAGCTTATTGTCAGTCCGTAGAGTATGAAAACGCCATTTGTTTTACATAATTCAAAATTTCATGATTTTTGACAATTGTGAAAAACAATGACAAAAGGTTTTTTTTTTTGACATGATGGTTTAGACAAGATAAAACTATCAATTATCAAAAACTTTCCAACCCTGCCTAAATAATGATATTTTTTTAAAGTGCTTAAAAATATTTTTGAGTGCTTAAAAGGTGCTTATTGAATAATTTGAGAATATGTTGCTTGTTGAATAATTTGACTACGCAGTCTGGAAAAGTAAGATTTGCATTAAACCCTATTACCTTTTACATCAAGGAGTGATGGCACAACTCTTAACTTCTTCAAGATTTACTTATCTTGTAGCTTTTTCTGAAAGCTTATAGTTAGTTACATGCTAAAAAGACATTAAATTAAACTGAATCCTACTTCACAATTTTCATTAAAAAAAAAAAACTCTTAAAAGATCAAAAAAAAAGTTGCATCCACAGAAAGCAGTTGCATTCATTTCAACCTTAAATTTTTTGTTGGAAAAAAAATTAAGACTGCTTCAAAATTCATACAAAGTTTGAATTTTGTGCTATTTGTATAATAAAATGTTTCCCAAGCAAAAGAAAACACATGTTCATGCATGTCAGTTCAAAGTTATTAAATGGAGAACTACATAAAAAAAAAACACTTTGTTTATGAAAAAAATACATTTTCCATCAAAATTACTTCTTGTTGGAATTTCGATCCCATTGTATAAAAAAATTATAAAATAAATTATTAAAATTCATAGAAAACTGCCTACCGAATTACGTGAAACTTAGACTATATAATTAAGTGGTTTCTGAAAGTTACTTCTCAAAACTCAGATTTTAAATATAAATCTCACCTGCACGGCAATGTTTAAAATTTTGCTGTTGCAATCAAAATTATTTGTATTGGAGCTTCGTTTTTGAAAGAATAACTTACTTTTATTGATGACTAGCGCATTAAGAAGACCTTTGCCCCGAACTATTCTCACTTTGTCTTTAGATAGTTTTTCAAGTTCAGATCTGAACAATTTTCCCATCGTTTCTGCATTATCTGCAAGTTTTTCTTCTTCTAACACCTATATAAAAGATACATGTATTTTATATACAAAATCACATATTATGAAGTTTAGTTGTTCAAACATAATGTTTGTAGGTAAATTATGCTAAGAACAAATGAATTTTTACATGTATAATTCTATTAAAAGCAACCATCACTAAAATTTATGTATAAATTGTTTGCATATTTTTATTTTAACCATGGCAGGAGACAATGAAAGCAAAACGTGAAAAGTTTTTATGTATAAACTTAAATTTTATTTCTCCTTCTATTTTTATATCAAAAAGATATTTTTAACACTTAAAAAAACATCGAAACTCACAGTGAAAAAAATGCATTTAAAAACTATCCATTTTTTTAAAAAAATAAATGCAGTAAAAACACCATAATTGGAGATTTTATATAATTTAGTAACAAGATCATAATAAGTGTACAAACATTTTAATTCTTTATAAAAATGTTAAAATAATTTAGTGTAAGCACATTTTGGTCTTAATTGGGAGCACTAACTAGTGCTGTTAGAAACTATAATGAATTCCTTCGGCTGGTGTTGGTCTAAAATAATTATCATGCTTGTTTCAACAGTTTTTCTTAAGACAAAATTCTTTTATTTTTTAATCATTGATTTAAAAAGAAAACCAAATAGTTGTTGCTGTTGAAAACCAAATAACCTTTTACCAAATAGTTGTTGCTGGGGGCTCAAGCTGCCTTTGGTATCATTTCTAAAAATTCCCACTTTTGTGGTGAAATTTGGCTGATAATCGAATAATGGAAAACTTCTCGATACTAAATTTAAGCTAAATTATTTTTATTTTTCAAACAAAAATGTCTGAAATAAAATATTATGAATAAAATGCTATCTATAATATATATTTATAACGTAATTAAAATGCTTAACTATAATTTTGTATTTACATGTTTTCATTCAATTATTAATAAACTAGACTAATTAGTAATAAACATTTTTATGCCAACAGTTTATTTTACCTGAAGAGCAGCCATGGCAACTTTACAAGCTAGAGGGTTGCCTCCATAAGTTGAACCATGCTCTCCAGGTTTTATAACCAGCATAACTTCATCATTGGCTAAGATAGCGGAAACCTAAAAAACAAGAAATAAATATCATTACTAGAAGTTTAAATTACGTGGAAGTGTTTGTACAAAGAAAAATAAGATTAGCCCATCAGTTCTCAAATCCATATAGCTTTATTTATAGCTTTTATAGCTTTATATTAATACCAATTGTAAGGTCAATTAAGAAATTCCATAGCTGATTTTTTATTTTCAATTAACGTGTCTACAATTTAGGGATGAAATTTAAAAATATTGATTAAATGAAAATAACTATTGAAATTAAGTATAAAATTGTAAAAAAGTATTCTTTCAATTAAATGTCAGAAAAAATTATTGATTGTAAGTAATAGAATTTAAATTCGTTATTAAGTAATACAACTTACCTTTTTCTTATTAAAATTGCAGAAAATTATTTTTTTATTGTAATTTATAAATAAATAATGTTGGATTATCAAGTCAGTATTTCATAACAGCTGTCATTTATAAAATTAAAAAATAATGAATACTTACAATTAATTCATTTGAAAAAAAATTCTTTGAAAAATACAAATTCGTGTATCACGTATCACATGATACGTTTTTCAAACCGTCCCTGAAAATGATGCAAATCATTGGTTGGTGAAATTCAAAATTTATTCTTTAAATCACAATCTTGAATCGCAATCAAGGTTAATAAAAGAAAAAGCATAGTTTACTTTTCTTTTTTTTTTTTAATTATTCAATTGAAATTCTCGCGAGTATTATGATATGCTTTTATTGTTAGCAAATAATGAAGCTATAAAAGATTTATCAATTGTGGATATTAATATTATCATTGAATTTAATGGTCATCGTTCATGCCACTTTTTCTATTTGCAAGTCTTTGTTGAGCAGATCTAAACGAAAAATAATAAAATAGCTAAATTTAAATGGTATCTAATCCTTAATTTTTATTATTAACTGGAAGAACATACGATGTAAAAGTAACTTATATCTTAATTTTCTTTTTTGATGTGTAGGCTGTTTTTCTGAATTCGCGACTATGTGATTTTTATCAGTCTCGCGATTTCTAGATTTTATCGGTCTCAATTCTTCCGTGAAACTATAACCGAAATTCAAACACTTCTAGTTAAAATTAATTTGCTCTTTTAAAATAAAAATAAAAAATGGTTCCATATTATAAACAACAGTTGAACACTGGCTTGAAATGTGTGCATCATTAACACAATCACATAAAAGAAATAATCAAAGGAAAAATAATAATTTACTGTTTTAAAATTAAAATAAAAAATGGCATGAAAAATCAAAACACTACCACCTAAAAGAAGTAATAAAAAGGCCCAAAACTTTTTGAACTTATATTGAAGATGTTGCCAAAGATTTACATGTATTTACTGCTTATCAAATATGAGATTAAAATGCTACAATAAATATCATTTTGCAATAGTTTGATGACATAAATTTTGTTTATTAATACAGAAGTATTAATACCGAAAAAAATATATAAGTACTTTTTAATAGTCATTTTTACTTACTGGATATACTCCGCCAGATAAAGCTTTTCCCAATAATAGGATATCTGGTTTAACATTTTCGTGATTAACGCACAACCACCTAAAAAAAATGATAGTTTTGCTACATGAAAAATTTTATTTATTTAAAATGTGATTAATATTTTCACTTCTATTTATCTCCGAAAAACTATTAGGAGAAAAAGTTTTTTAAGAAATACTCCCTTTCAGACACAAAATTTCCTTTATTCTCTAAGTTATATATAGATAGATAGATAATATAAAATTTATAATGAATTTTAATCACTATAAAATATAATTAATAAAAAAATTCCTAAGCATAGGGATTGAAGAGACATTTTCAGCAAACAGGGCTTTGAACTTCATGGTTTGGGCAACTATAATCATTTAATGAAGCTATTATTACCTTAAATCAAATTAACATGAATTCTAAACAAACAAACTTTCAAAATATATTTTTTTTAAAAATGCATATTAAATTCTTGAAATTTTTAATAAAGTAAAAATGTGTCTTAAGCTTAATAAGCAGCATATGAAAATCTTGTAATTTTAAAGTTTTTCTTCAACCCCAATGAATGACGAGCTACAGGAATACTATAAGAAAAATTTTCACTATTTATGTAAGATTTTATTTTTTGTAAAGAAAAGAGCATCCGCTTTCTTATGTGACATTTCAGTTATTTCACTCCATATTTCTTATTTTTTTTCGTAACTCTCCTCTCTGTATTTTGTCCTTTATTTATTTTCATATTAAGAATCATGTCTCCATTTCGATTTGAATCTCTGATAGAGAAGTATATTTTGTTCATCAATGAATGCATCTTCACGTTTTGTAAATATTTCAATGAGTTTTAGAATTTCCGTTTGAGTTTCCTAATTCAGTGCAAGTTTCTATAATAAGACAAATATATGTATCATCATATTCACGATTTAATAATTTATTTTTGCTGTGTATTTGTTCGGCATGTTTTTACATCGTGATTTCATTGTATTTGTTTCAAACCTTAAAATTGTTTCCTTAAAAGTAAAACACATACTTTTTTTTTAAGATTGCACAAATTTTTTTTTTTTAATATTCCTTTTAATTTTGCTGGATCATAGCCGCTTTTTTTCAAAGTAACTGTAATATTTGTATACAACTCATTTTTTTAAAGGAAAGTAGTTGCTTACAAACGCAAAGTAAAATAAATTTTGCAAAAATTACGATATTTTTCTCTTCCTAAACATCTACAATAGTTTTCGATAATACTTAAACATTTTTTCAAATCTATGAGTTTTTGGAAGTTTATTTGTGATTTTTAACTACATGAGAAAAAATTATCTATAAAAAAAAATTCAGCCCGATTGATGAGTGGCACTTTAGTTACTTCTTTGTAAGATAAGACATAAAATATTGACTAGGCATTATTCTCTATTATGCTTAAATTGAATACTTTGGTGATAGCACATACATTCAACTTACTTTCCAGTTCGGCATAGTCCAGTTTGAACTTCATCAGCTATCCATAGAACGTTGTATTTGGTGCACAACTCACGAACTTTTTTCAAGTAGCCAGGATCAGGTACCACGACACCAGCCTCTCCTTGAATTGGTTCTACCATAAAAGCACAAACATCTGGATCCTTTAGTTTTTTCTAAAATTTCGAATTAAAAACACCTATTATTATGCTCCATTATTGCTATAATAATAATTCAAATATTTCAGTCACGTCAATGACCCATCAAACTGATTCAACTGTAAAAAATTAAATGAAACTTTTTCAATTTTTAAATTACTTTATTAAATTTTTTTTTACATAATCAGCTTTGAATTTACCCAAATTTCGGGTTTACGACTACTTATGTTCAACTCCGTAGCCTTGTGAGTATGAACCCAATCCAGAAGTAAAGCGAACTCCTGGATCAAGTATTGGGAGAAATATGCCTTCGTGGAGGGCTTTTTTTTAATGGAACGTACCCGCATTTGCGTTACATGGAGAGGAAAACCACGAAAACCTCCCTTGGTTAACCTGACCGCCAGGGGACTCTAACCCATGATAGGTCTACCACTGACGATATTTTACGTCAGCGTTGTAGCCAGTTCGAGCCGGGTGCGGAATTCGTGTGGACCAGGAATCGCTGGGATTCGAACCCGGTTCACCATATAGAAAGGTGGAAGCTCTATCCCCTGAGCCAGCACGGCTCATTATTAAAATTTATTAAATATTGATACTTGCAATAATTGTAGCTTTTTTCGATTTGTTTTCGCTTTTTTGTATTGCACACTATTCAGATATCCTTCGCTGAACAATGTCTAGTTAAATAAAATGTTTTATTTTTTTCATCTAGCAATGGTTTTTAGGGAATTTTAAGAGATTCCGTAGAATTCTTTTAAAATTTCAGTGCGATTAAAGGAGTTTATAAAAATGTTTTAATCTGAACAAGAAAGATTTAGAAATTTATTGTTCTTTTGAAGAAAATTATGTTTCAGCATCTAATTGTCACAACTATTATGTAGATATTTAAAATATTCAACAAATTAATTTGAAATCCTTAAATTTTATTTTCGAACTTATAAATTGCATTATAAACAAAGAAATGTAATAACAGGGCTATTTAGAACAAATACTTTAATTTTCTTGCAGAAAAAAAAGTGTCAATGTTGTTTTATTTTAATTGAAAAAAATTAAATAAAAAAGACAGAAGTGGAGAAAACAGCGTATTTTTGCTCTCAAAATTGTAATCCGCAGAAACGATTATTATGAAATCTATAAAAAATTGTAAAAATGTTTAATATGGAGAATTCCTCGCTAAGCCTCCAATCGTTTTTTTTCTCCCACCCCCCAAACAGGCAGTTCAACTTCAAAATTCGAAACGTTATGACTGTTGGTTTTCCTGCACTAACACTATCTCTGCAGAAAAAATGTTTTACAGTAAAGCTGTTAAGACAAGGAACTCTAGGACGATGATGAGGATTATAATGTTTTTGATGCATCCATTAAAACTTTCTCTTTCGACAATACAATTCTAGAAATAATTCATATTTGAAAAAAATTTAACCGTTCGCTTTTCTTTTCGTAATATCGCATAGAGAAAACTTAAGCCACAACACATACAAGGTGGCAAGAAAAAAGGAACAGAACTTGAGTTTTAAGAAAAGCAATATTGTATGCCATTGAGCTATTTAACCATCTTTTCATTAATTTTAAACCCGAAAAATTTGCACTTTTTTGTCATTTAAACTAAAAAATTCGTTTCTGAATAATGATAAAAAAAAAACCTTTTTTTTTTCAATGTAATTGTCTTTCTGCGTAACATATTCCAACAGTACACACAGCACTCTACAACTGAAAGACATTTTTTATCTCGCTAAAATAATCATATCTAAGGCTTATTGTAAGAATGCAATTCTTTTTTCCGTTATCTTTCAATGATTTTGGCTTTTCACTCAATCAAGTTTAAGACAATTCGTTTAGACACTTCACTTATAATAAAAAGCTCATATCTTTTTCACAAAAGATTAGCCCCTTAATTTTTAAGTCTTCTATTTAACTTACATCCTGTTACTCCAATATCAAACCTTGCATTCGTATAAAGTTGTTTAACTGATTAAAATTCATTAGCTTTTTCAATATTAACCCTTTGCCGCAGATGGGAGACCTGTGTTTCTTTTATATATATTTTTCTGACGTTCTAAGTACAAGCAAAAATATATTTTGGTATTTTTTTATAATAAAAAAACAGTCTATTAGTTAGTAAAGAAAATATTTTATATTATATGAATTATATTTGTACTAAAATATAATATCCTCAAAAAAAAAAAATAGTTTGAAATTTTTTTCATTTATATTCAAAAATTTATCAGTGATTGATTTTACAAATTAAAGAAATTTCGATGATGAATAACTATTTTACTTAGATCTAAATAACTACAAATAAGTACAAATTTGAAAAATTATTGTTTGGAAGTGAGCCGTGTTTGGACGATTTTACCTTTAAAGCAGAAAAAGACACAGGTGTTTCATACTGTATTTCACAAACATTCATTTTTAAAATATTAAATTTGATATTTTTCACTTATTTTGATCTAAATTAATACAAAATAATGAAAAAAATATGTTTAAAATTTCTGGGTCAAAGGGTTCAAGCAAAATCTATCCCAACTATAACACTTTAGTCTCTTATTTACATTTTTTAAAGCATAATATATCTAACTTGTACTCACCTCTAAGGCATTTGTATCATTGTAAGGCACAAGTTCGAAATTCGGCATATAAGGACCAAACCCTGCATAACTGGAAGAGTCTGTAGAACTTGAAATGGCTGATAAGGTTCGTCCCCAGAAATTTCCTTCAGCAAAAATGATTTTGGCTTTGTTCTTTCCTATACCTTTTACATCATAACCCCATCTCCTAGCCAACTTGCAACCTGTTTCTCCTGCTTCAACACCTGCATGAAATAATTATCCAATCAAATTAGAGATTTAAAACTTTCAACGTTAATTCACTAATTCCCAATTGCATAATATTTTGTACTGGAGAGCGGAGGCCCCCAGAGCGCTGCCGCTCAACAATCACGATGAGTGCTTCACAATAATTGTTGTTTCTTAATTTAGAACAACTCTTTTTTTTTACGAAAGTTGAAATTATTTACCTAAAATAAAAAGAATTATATTTGCTTACGCCTTAACTTCCACATCCAATATTAATTTCTTTAAATTATATATTCATTTTGAGTCAAATTTGATTTGTAAATAGCATGGAAGATCTGGTAGTGATCTCGCAGTCGAAAGATCTATTAGTGAACTTAAATAATTTTGCCTAATAATCATTTTTAAAAAAAAAAATAACATTCGAAATTAAAGGCATACTGTAAAAACAAATTTGGAGCGTTCGCAATCGTAATTTAATATTTTCGCTTTCCAAACAGACTGATATATTAAATATAGTTTGTGCATTCATCACAATGTGCATGACGTTGATCGTTAAGTTCTTAAACTTTTAATGAATCCCTTTAACGGTAATTTATAAAAGCATATTAATGTGGTTTAAGCAACAAAAAAATTTAAAACGGTTAATAAATTTATATAGACACCAATTCAAAAAAATTTTATCATAAAATGCTGCGTAATGCTAATTATTATACTCCCCTGCCAATAAAAGCGTAACGACAACAAGGGAGAATTGCGACATCATCACTAGATTTTTATATATAATTATTATTTTTGCCCTTCTAGATGAATTTACGTTATTAGGTTTTATTTTGTATTTTATATCCGTCGTTGAACAGCCGACCCAATTTTTGGGTTTATAACTACTAATGTTCTACTCCGCAGCCTTGCAATTTTGACCCAACCCAGAAGACAAGGAAATTCGTGGATCAGTACCCCAGAGGTATTTATTTGTTATGGGAACATGGAGGACTTTGTGACTCAACAGATTTAACGTGCATCAGTCACCATTTACTACACGGAAAGTCTTCGGCCGGCACGGATCGATCCCACGACCTCTTGGACATGAGCCCAGTGCTTTACCAACCAGGCTATCCCGACGTTATTAGATTAATCAAAACACATTTTTAACATTTTTAGCAAAATAAAGGCTAAGTGCATTATTCGCTATAATCTGGCATACTATCAAGGCAAGGTTTAATTTTTTGATGAAAAATATTTCTAAATTTTTATAGCCCTCCCTGAAAGCATCTATGGCATCTAATGTGTTAATATACAATATACTGAGTGACGTACCAGTGTTCATAGGAAGGACTTTCTGATATCCGAATTTTTTCGTGATGAATTCTTCATACTCCCCTAAAGCTGATGCGTAGAATGCTCTGGATGTTAATGTTACGATTTCAGCTTGCTTCGCTAGTGCTTCTAAGATTTTAGGATGGCAGTGCCCTTGATTGACAGCACTGTAAGCACTCAAAAAATCAAAATACTGTTTGCCTTCTACGTCCCATACATGTATACCTAAGCAGAATTATCAAACATGAATCACATTAAATATATATATAAGCCTATTAAATGAAGAAAAAACAATGTTTTTTAAAGTTAAATAGAATGAAGAGTGGCCATGTTTAAATCCTTTTATATTTTATAACCGTCGTTGAACAGCCGACCCAACTTTTGTGTTTGCGACTACTAATCAGGGGTCTGTCTAGGTTTTTCTGAGAGGTACCTATTTTGTGAAAATTAAGACATAATTTGTGAAAAATTAAAAATTATATTAAAAAATCAACACAAAAATATGGTCAAAATATGGATTTATCGTTTCTAAAGGAATGCAAAAAAAAAAAATTTTTAAGAAAAAGTATTTTGTGAAACTACTGTTTTTCACAAATTAAATTTGTGAAGGTACCGCTAAATGGTAGTAAATTCGGCCTGGATTTTTGAACCCAATCCAAAAGACAAGGAAACTTCAATAAAATTTCCAAAAAACTATTCAGAAATTCATCGCTTTAACTTTGCAATTATTTTTTAATCATTTCAGTCGAAATAATTCTGTCAAAGCTTTCTATTCTGAGAATTTTTAACTTAAAATTCCATGAATTCTCTTTCCAATTTATAATTCTCAGAATAGAAATTTTTATGAAACTCTCAGACAGAAATGATTTTTTTTAATCTAAAAGATAAGGCGGCGAGTTATTGAATATCCTTTTAGAAACTTACGCAGTTTATTAGTTCTCCAAGGACGCAGTCAAGTCTATAAATCATGAAAGTCTAACAGTGAAAGTTCCTTAGAAATTGAAATTTTTTCTTTTCCATTTAAGAAATTCAATTCATTTAAAAAAAAATATTAAAATAACTTTTCCCTCATGGTCCACACCAATCAATATGGATATAACTCAATAAAGATCTCCTTTAATATTTTGTAGAATTTTTATTAAACATATTTTTTGTACTTTTTTCATTATTTTGTATTAATTTAAGTCAAAATAAGTGGAAAATATTGCATTTAGCATTTTAATATTTTATGATTATGAAATACAGCATAAAACCCGGCTCTTTTTCTACGTTAAAGAGTATCTTCCCAACACGGCACACTTTCAAACAATTTTTCAAATTTGCACTTATTTACCGTTATTTAGATATAAGAGAAACAGTTATTCATCATTGAAATTTCTTTAATTTTCAAAATCAATTATTCACAAATTTTTGAATATGAATGGAAAAAAAAATTCAAACATTTTTATTTTTGTACAAATATATATTATTTGTCCGATATACACAGAAGAGCCATTACATTATGACCACCCTGCTAATAACATGCAGGACCACCTTTAGCCCTCAAAATTGCCAGCAGCCGCCGTGTTATTGATTCCACAAGGTGCTGATAGGTAGTCTGAGGTATCTGGTACCAAGCGTTCACCAAATGGTCCTACAATTCTCTCACATTGCGAGGGGGTAGCGTGGCAGCACGAATTTGGTTTTCCAAGTAGGACCACAAATGCTCTATTGGATTAAGGTCAGGTGAATTTGGGGGCCAAGACACGACTTGAAAATCACTAGAATGTTCCTCGACGATTCAACCCTTATGACATGGTGCATTATCCTGTTGGTAAGCACCATCTCCCGCAGGAAAAACTGTTGCCATGAATGGATGAACCTGGTCGGCAACTATGTTCAAGTAGCTTACAGACGTCAGGGATTGTTCTATGAGGATTATGGATCCTAATGTGCCGCATGAAAACATTGTTCCTGGGCTAAACACCATGAAAACCTGGGCGAGCCCATTGTTATAGATGGAGGGTGGTCATAATGTAATGGCTCTTCGGTGTATATTATCTGTTATACATAGATTTAAATTATAAAATTCTGATTAGATAATAAAAATCTGTTAAATATAGATTAGTTTAATAATATTAGACAGTTTTTTGTAAGTAAAAAATGCCCCAAAAAAATTTTTTGTAAGTAAAAAAAAAGCCAAAAAAATTTTTTTTTGTAATTAGACCGACAGAAAAAATATATGTGACACGGTGTCCTATCTGTATCAATAGGATTAATTATTGGTTCTGCGAAGTAAAATATCACAGCCATTTTTGTATTGTGAATTTGAATTATTATTATTTTCTTTAACTTACCTTTCCCTTTGTGTATTACAACGGGCAGGGGGTGGTAATTGTGAGCTCCATACTTAGACTCCCTTTCCATAACTTCTTTGGAAGTTAGAGGATATAAGGCGCTCGATGAGCTTTCTGTTCGAACAGGGGTGGACGCCGATATAGCTTTGCTAACATTTTTAACAGCCTTTTTCAGAGAGCAGCTCACTTTTTGAGAATGAAACATGATACCTAGAAAACATAAAGGTTATTGAGTAAAAAGGATGTTTTATGATTTTAAGTTTATTTAATAAAAAAAAGATATAAACGATGATTTATAAAGCAGGTACTACATGAAAATGATGGCCAGCACAATGTTTTTTTTTATTAAAAATAACGCTTTGAGTAATGAATTGTTATACAAATCAAGACTATAAAATGTTCACGTTTGGTATTTTTTAATGAGAAAATGCTTTGATAACATCAGAAAAAAAAGTAAAACTGCTTTCTTTTTAATGTTTTATATACCACAAACTTTTAAGTAATTGTGAATATTTTATTTTGTGAATACTTAATTTTATTAATTTTTTTTACAGTTGAAACAATGTGAATAATAAAATATATTGTGGAAAATATAAGCAAAAAAAAAATTTATTTATTCATGCTAATCTTCATGTCTGAAAAGAATTTATATTTTTTCTTGTATGAACCGAACAGTTTTATGGCCCTTATAAATATTTATAGAATTCTTATTAAAAATGAAGTTAAAAAAAATTATGCATATTAAGGGGCTTGAATTAATATTATAGTGAGGGGGGAAAACGCTACCAAAATTTAAGATGAATGTGAAAAGAAAAACACAAAAACCTGATTTAATTTTCTAATGAAACTTAAAATGTATAAAATAATCTCTTTCAAATCTTTTTTGTTTCCTCCAGAGAAAGTTTGAAAGGTTCTGATGTTTTCCGAACCGCCTTTATCAATTCATTAATTAGCAGCCTTTAATAGCATTAACTAATTCAATAGAATTTGATAACGTTTTGTCTCTTCTCCCTCAAATGTTAATTTACGAACCCCTAATGTTTAGAACTTTATTTTTCACAAGAATTCTAAAAAAACATATAAAAGGAGGTCAATAAGGAACACCTTATCTATTATGCCTAAGAAAACTTTTGATCATACTATATAAGTAACGCAACGGAATTTTCCGCAAATACCACAACTATAAGAAAAAACAATCAAAACGAATTTTCAAATGGTATGATATTTCGAACAACGAAGCTCTCTATCACTGTAAATTTTTTTAACAAAATAATAATGAAAGGAAAAACCTGATACATTATAATATATTAATTAGTCATAAGTTTAATCGTGATTGTTTAAAACCTTTCGCAAGGAAATCTTTTTCTTAATATTTGCATCTTGAAAAGAATTTCGCTAGACCCATCTTTAAATACACTCATGTCCATAAATTAAGGATAATTCAGAATCACACGGAAATCAAACTCTACAATTAAAATTTCACCTGTAGAATTATCACACACATCCTGAAGAAGAATATGCAAATTACAGGAAACCACTAGATGACGCTGGTAGTACATCACAATGACGAGAGTGTAAGAGAGGGGTATGTAAGGAATGGTGGCAAAGAAGTAAAATAGTTCACAAGCGCTTTAAAAGCCTTTCAGTGCAATAACCGCATAGTTATGGCACAAAGGAAGCATTTGAATGATTTTTACGTGGCAGAATCATCGGACGACTGGAATGTGGACGTACCCAGCTGGAAGTATCCGAGAAACTTGGAATCACCCAAAGTGTCATCTCCAGGCTTTGGCAACGCTTCCAAGATGATGGTAATGTGAGTAGACGTTACAGCACAGGTTGCCCCCGAGTTACAACGCCGAATGAAGACTGGTATTTAGCAGTTACTGCCAAAAGAAATAGACGGAGCACAGCATCAGACCTGTCTCGTCAGCTCTCTTCAGCTACCGGTACGACAGTTTCAAGGCAGACCGTGTACAGACGCTTAGGGCACATTGGTCTATATGCTCATAGGCCTGTCAGATGTGTTCCACTTACCGCAACTCACTGTCGCCTGCGATTAGCCTGGAGTAGAGAGCATGCATTGTGGACACCGCAACAGTGGTCTTGTGTGATGTTTTCCGACGAGTCCAGGTTTAGTTTGCAGTCTGATTCTCGCCGGACTTTCAAATGGAGAGCGCCAGGTACCCGTTATCACCAAGACAACACCATTGAACGACACCGTTACGGTGGTGCAGGATGGCTCGTTTGGGGAGGAATTATTCTTGGTTCCAGAACTGACCTGCATGTTCTGAGTGTAACGATGACAGGCCACATCTATAGGGATGTCATTCTGGAACAACATGTACGTTTGTTTCGGGGCGCCATGGGTGCTGAATTTCTGTTTATGGACGACAACGCCCGTCCTCACCGTGCAAACATTGTAGACGAATGCCTTCAATCGGAGGATATCACCCGTATGGATTGGCCAGCATACTCACCGGACTTGAATCCAATAGAGCATGTGTGGGATATGCTTGACCGACGAAATGCAGCCCGTCAACCCCCTCCCACCTGTCTACCGGACTTTCGGAGGGCATTGCTTNTATATATTCTTATATAATTGATATAGAATATTTATAGAATTCTTATCAAAAATGAAGTTTAAAAAAATATGCATATTAAGGGCCTTGAATTAATATTATAGTGATGGGGGGTAAACGCTACCAAAATTTAAAGTGAAAGTGGAGTGAAAAACACAGAAACTTGATTTACTTTTCTAATGAAACTTAAAATGTATAAAATAATCTCTTTCAAATCTTCTTTGTTTCCTCCAGAGAAAGTTTAAAAGGTTCTGATGTTTTCCGAGCAGCCTTCATCAATTCATTAATTAGCAGTCTTTAATAGCATTAACTAATTCAATAGAATTTGATAACGTTTTGTCTTTTCTCCCTCAAATCTTAATTTGCGAACCCTTAATGTTTATAACTTTATTTTTCACAAGAATTCTAAAAATGCATATAAAAAGAGGTCATTAAGAAACACCTTATCTATTATGCCTAAGGAAACTTTTGATCATACTATATAAGTAATACAAAGGAATTTTCTGGAAATACCACAACTATAAGAAAAAACAATTAAAACGAATTTTCAAACGGTATGATATTTCGAATGACGAAGTTTTCTGTCACTGTAAATTTTTTTAACAAAATAATAATAAAAGAAAAACCTAATTCATTGTGATATATTAATTAGTCATAAGTTTAATTGTGATTGTTTAAAACCTTTCCCAAGGAAAACTTTTTCTTAATATTTGAAAAGAATTCTCAAGTGTTGTTTCGCTGGACCCATCTTTAAATAAATTAAAATTAGAAAAAGCGCCTGGATTCATAAACGTATATAATTATTCTGTTCGGTCTACTAATAAAACTAAATATTTTTTTATTAATGTTAATAAAAATGCCAAACCTAGTTCTGAAATTGTTTAAAAAAAAGTATTAAAGCTCAAATTATTTTGTAGAAATTTCAAAGTGTCTGAATAAGTTAAATTTTGAAAATCTAAAAAGGAAAAAAAATCCCTTAGACGTCTGAGCTTTAAATAGAATAAAATTATTCTTGAACAGCTAAACAGTTAAAGTGCATATGATGACATCACAAAAAGATTAAGCACATTATCAACTACATTTTGCTTGTATTATTCTTCGATTTCGATCTATTGTTTTAAAATAAATAGCATTTTGACCTTTTATAAGTGTTATTGCAAATAAAATTTGTCGAGATATCAATGAAATATTGATATGAAAATACTGCTTATAAGATTCTCAATTTCAGTTTGGTTACCACAGTAAGCGTAAGTTAGATTATGAAATACAGTTAAAGTGAAAAAATAGATAATTAATAAACTAATTATAATGCACCAAAAGTTAACAGTAAAAAGTTAATAAACTAGTCCATGCTTACACAATTCTACCATACAAAATTTTGAATCAGAAAATTATTTAGTTAGTCATAGCATATGGCATTTTTGATGAAAAGTATCTCAGTATATTTTAATTTGAAATCAAAAGTTTAAAACTTTTATTTGGATATCAGCAAGGTGACGTCATTGTAGGTAAATCGCGAAATTTATCGATTCAGAAGCCAATCAGGTTCGACACTCACGCCTGCTTCTGGGTATCCAATTAAATTTGATTTAAATCACATGGTTGGAAATAATCTCTTTTTTTATTGAGTTGCAGATGCCGAATTCAAAAGTAACTTTAACTTTTTAAGAATTGAAAAGCTGTGAGTTGAAAATTTGAAAACGATTTTTAAAAATCGTTTGACTAAAACAAATTTGTCACCTTTTAGTAAGTATTTTTCAGTTAAATAAGATGCATCAGATTTCACGTAATTTTTCAACAACAATTTGCAAGTTTTTAAAGCAAATTTTTACTTAAAAATAATGAGAGAAAAAATGAAAGAAAAGAAAGAATGTAAACAAAAACCTGAATAAAATTTCTTATTCGAAATAATTATGAAATGAATAATCCCAAAGAAGCTGAAGCGGAAAGATATACTTGTCAATAGAAAACCTTATTAGTTAAAAAATTTAAAAGTGCAAAAGTCGACATGTTTCGAGCACAAAATAGGTTTTGAATTCGCTATACACGTGTTGATGAGTCTTGAAAATGGGGGACTGTTTTGATCACTAAAAACATAATCTTTTCCTTCTTAATTTTAAAAGCTGATGGACAAATTCCTAGACAAGCCCTATGGATAAATTTTCTTATACTTAACGGAACTCTGAAAACGACTTAACGAAATTCTTTTGTTAAGTTGATTACATTTGTTAAGTTACTTTGTAATAGAATGTAGCTTTAAGACTATTCATTCCTTTTCTTTTTTTGTACAGAATATGTAATATGGTTTTCTTAAAAACACAAAATTGAATTTCAAAAACATCTGGCCTTCTTTATAAAAGTACACAAAAAAAATTTCATTAAGTAAACTTTTTCCACAATGATTAATCATGTGGAAAGTTACACACCAGTGATTTCCAAGTCATTGCTATGACCGTGAATTTGATTTCCGAAACTGCTTCATAATCATTAGCATAATTTCTAGCGATTTCCTGTTTTCATAGTTTTCTTTTCTTGAAGGAAAGGACGAAAATATTAAGACTTAAAGAGTGAAACTAACCAAATTGATTTCTTTTTACAAATGATGAAGACTTTAAAATTGAATCCCTCACAGAATAAAATCTTTTTTTTTCTTTTATTAACTAAACTTATACTACTAAAATTATTTCAGCTAATTGCTCCAAAGAAGAAACAAAATAAAAATTATTTTGAAGTTTATAATATTTTGAACGGAATATATATATATATAATTTCAAAACGAAATAAATTCATACATATTTTTTTAATGTAAAATTATTCTCTCATAAAATTACTTTAAATAAATCAGTTTTGATCTAGCGTTTCGCTGATTAAGAAATAAGCTGCTATTTTAGACAAATGTTTCCAGAGAAATGTTACAAATTCGGAAGAACTTTCTTTTTTACGCAAATTAATCTATCCGAATCAGAAGAAAATGATTTTTGCGAAGAATAAGATTTTTTCTTAGTATTAATAGCTTTTTAATTAACTTTGTAGACAATTTTGCCTTAAATTTAAAATAAATCAATAACTTTAGTTAAAAGTTTGGTTTTGAGTTTAAAACACTCATCTGATTAAGATTTACAAATAAATAGCTTTAAGTTGTTTTTACAAATTAACGATTATTTAATAGAAATAATTTAAATATTTTATTAATTTACCATTTTGCCGCCCTAAAAAATTTATGAACAAGAAATTTTATGTGTTTTTTAATATTTAAAACCCTTCCCAGAAAAGTGCTTTACAAAAATTAAATTCAAATAAAGTATTCTATGTTAATGTTAATTCATTTTGATTTCACTGCATTAAACATATTTATTTACATCTTAAGTTTAATTATTTGATTAAAAAAAATTCGAAGTGAAAAAAACTAAATGTTTCAAACAAGAATAATAATATACAATTTAAATAATAACCAATTGAAATAACTTACCCTAAGTTATTGTTGTGGATTAAAATACTGCACCTTTGGAATTAATTAATCAGCTTGTTTTCAGCGAAAATGCAAAGGTATTTGATTTTTATTTAAAAATTCATACTTTAAAATATCTTTAGAAAGTTCGATGACGCGTGCATGCATGTTGGAAACCAATACCGAATCCTCATGAAAAGTTAATCATGAAACGTAATACTATTCTTTATCAGTTATTTTAATCACTTGAAATCAATATAATGATAACCTCGGATTATTACGGAAATATAACCTTGTCCTTGTAAAATCGCCAGTACACACGTCAGAATGCTGCGCGTCTATCAGTAAAAATAGTTTGATAGCACTTGGTCAATCATACTTGGCTTAGTTAAAATAAAAGTGAAGTATAATTTGTAATTTAAAAAAAATGAAAATATCTTTTAATAATTCAAAAAACAAGCAGATATATGTATAGATATTTATGCGTTAAACACTTTTTTAATCCTTTACGTTTAACTGCTCTTGCATTATTTCAATATTCGCGAAGATTTTTTATTACTTACAAAATAATGTAATTATCTTTCAAGTATTAATTAAAAAAAATTCTGAAACTTCAGTCAATTCAAACGCGAAACAAAACCTGGGCAACTCTTAGTATCGTTTTTTTTTCTGCATGAAAGTTAGAGTAATACTAGATCTTTTCTCCATAATTATTTCCTCTTTCTTTAGAAAAAAAAACGATTTTTTTTTTTTACTTTTAAAACATTTTCTGAAAATTTATTAAGGATAAATTTGAAGTGAAATATGGAATATACATATTTTAGAGGTGTTCTGGAAATTTTAAGAGAACTTTAAAATTTTATTTTGCATTTAAAAAAAATAATAAAACGCAAAAATATGGAATATTAATCTTAGAAATTCCTCAAATATTTCAAATGAAACACTAATAGCAAAAATGCTGAAAACAAATTAAATTATGGACATTTTTATACCAAAATAAAACTAAAAAGTTTAACTTTTAAAAGCCAAAAATGTACTTTTTTATTTCTATTTTTAATTTCTAAATGACTAAATGAGACTTGTGAGCATTTTTGTTTGATTTTTTGCATGGCTACCATTATTATAAATTTACAGGATCCCTGACAACTTAGGGGTTAAACAACCATAGTTTTATCGCATAAACTAAGCCCACCTAATGAAACCACTTAGTTCCTTGCAACTGCGTGCATATTATAGCCGAAAGGGCTAATCTATCAGTCTCATGACTGGCGGTACTGGGGTTTGAGTCCCAGCGTTGACATAACAATGCTTCCTTCATTCCCTTCAAAACGTGAAGAGTTTCCAGTGTTCCACACTCCCCAATTTTAGTTCTGCACTCTCCAATGCTTACTACCTAACGAAAAGTCTAACTCCTATGTCCAGTTAAATTAATTTTTTAAGGTTTTGAAACCATGAAAGTTGTAAATGGTTTAAAAAAATCCGTTTAGTTTTGTATCCATGCTTTTACAGCCATACCATTGTAAACTGTTTCAAAACCGTAAAGGTAAGAAATGTTCTTTACCGTACTGTTGATCGGATGCCCAGACTGTTGCCGGTTTTTTTTTTACCATAATTATAGAAGGAAATTTTTTACCGTAATTATGTATTTTTGAAAGCAAAATAATTTTATATTTTTCCAGAGCTTAAACTTACCATCATGCAATTATCAAGCATTTACATCCATGTTTATTTTTTCATATCTAGTAGCGGTTAGAATCATTCTAAATTACATTAGTGCATCAAGAAAATTAAATAGCATAAATTTTACTATCACTTTAAAAAAAATCTTCTGAAAAATCAGGAAGTATTGACAGACATCTGTTGTCCGATTAAGTCGATTAGCTTTGGATGTATATAAAATTCAAACTAATGTTTTAAAAATTATGTATAAGCATAATAGCCTTTTCTTTATAAAAGAATAATTTTTTTCTCTATTATCCTGTATACGATGTTTGCCCAACAATTATGACAACAACAACTATGTAGAATACAGCCAAAAAGTGCAAACTATTAGCTTAATTACTTGTTAATTGTTAAAAGTAAAGATAGCACTGAGAGTGTTTAAAAATATACCTTACGCAATTTTGATAAGAAACAGATATAGAAAAATAGCATTCTAATCCGGTGATAGGGAAGTCTTTATTTACTCGAAAACAATTACCCTCGGCAACAAACAAATTTTATCGTTTCAAAACTATTCCATTAATCATAAATTTCGAACTCTCTAGTTGTCATAGTTTTCTTTTTAAAGTTAACTGGTTTCTCATGCTGTTAGCAAAGTTAGAGAACATTGAACTTTTGAAATGTTAGATTCAAGATGACTTGCGGGCACAACTTTGTTAATTATACCGCAATTGATTTTAATTAACTAATAAATTTGTAATGTTGCGAAAGATAAAATTATACATTTAATCTTCAAAGAAATTTGCAAAAATCTGTATTGTCTTTGGAAAAATTTTAATTATTTAACAATATTTAAAAAAAAAAAGAATTCCAAATGTATTAAAACACTTTGAGATAAAAACTGGCAAAGTTGTGACTTTCGGGCACAACTTTGCTAATTATACCACATTTGACTTCAATTAACAAATAAATTTGTCATGTTACAAAAGATAAAGTTATACATTTAATCTTCAAAGAAATATGCAAAAATCTGTAAATAAACTAACTATCTACAATTACCTTAAAAATAACCTGGTACTGCCATCAGGTATGTAAAATGAGAAATTAAATGTTTTTCGGGCAAAAGAAATGAATTAGTTTTATTCTTATTGGCGCGTTACTACTGAACACTCCAGCCCGTCAATATCACGGGAGCGAGAAATAACGGGCTAATTTTCACTCCGTCATTTTCACGGGAGCGAGAAGGAAGGGGTTAAGTACCGAATTTTTATGACGAAACATATGCCAATTAATGCATATATCTCATACAAAAAATTCTGAGAACTATGAACAAAAACTCATACTAATGAGACCTGAACCCTATTATTTTCAACACCTCCAGAAGTGCTTGTACAATCATCTTTGTTGCCAGTACAATTGGTTATTCAAACGTATTCATGCTCAATTTCTCGTAGATACTATAAAATAAGTTTCAAAGTGAAAAAGTGTTAAATTATTGATCCGAGTCAACGTAATATATCCTGCGAAGAAAATGCAGAAATTAAAAGCATCCCTTAGGGGATTATTGATTAAATCAAATTGCTTAGTTTATTTTTAGATGCTGGGAAGAAGTAAACCAACCTCTTGGCAAAAATGCATGACTAAAAATTGACTTTGATCGACGATCCTTGAGACAAACAAAGACTTTTCATAATAAAAACAATTTTTTCGTATTTTTCCTATTTTTACGGTTGGACTTTATTGATAATTTGAGTCATTTTCAAATTCAACTTTTGATAATACTTATGCGCTCTGCATTGAAAGTGATTCCTTCTTTAATTACATGCAAAATGTAACTTTTAGTAAATATTTATTATTTTTTATTATTTTATTTTAATAATGGTTGAAACAATTTTGAATTGTAAGGTATACCATTTTTAATATCATTTTAAAAAATGTAATTTTACTTGGCAAAACACAAAATTTGAGTTAAATCAGTCTAATAGCTCCTGAGATATCGAATTTTAAGACTACGGCTTCTCAGGAACTATTCGATCGATTTCGCTCACATTTTCGATTTTGCAAAATAAAATTGCGTTCTTTAAAGTGAAGTAAGAAATTGTATGCCTCACAATTCAAAATTTTTTCGACTAATTTAAAAAAGATAATAACTATAAATACTTAAAATAAAATAATAAATATTATTAAAAGTTATTTTTTGCAGGGAATGTTACATTTGAATAATGAATTTCATAATTGTGTGAAGAAAATTTCAATTCGCTTTAAAAGTTCTCGAGATACCGGGAAATACGCAAAAAGTAAAATCGGCTCTCCTGACCAAACTATGGGGACCATATTTCTAATCCTACGAAATCCTACGAAAAATGGCGTGCTTATTCAGAGAAAGCACGTTTTTGTGTCTGATTAACTTAAAATATAGACTGCACTAATGAATTAGCATATTTAAGGTCACCCCATCAAACCATTAAGATCATTAGATCAAAAGTTATTCAGGGTGGTAATTTTTTTAATTTGTGCTCTGTGCACAGTATGTCATTTGTTCTTTTAAAATAAAATGCCATTAACTATATCGTTATTTCTTAAGGGTGACAAAGGAAAGGTGTCTTATATCCATAGCGAAGTTCTCATACCAGATTATTACGAACAGGGAACAATTCTGATGTCGTCTTTAAAATATAGACAGTTTGTGTCATTTTGTTTTATTTTATGAAAACATAAATAGCATACTGCATGCATGCTCTCTTATCAATAAAAATAAATCTCAATTGTTATTCGGTAAATTTTTTTACTTCGAAATTTCTAGTCATCTGAACCATTTGTTACTTTATGTGGCCACCTGTAAATTAACTTTGTTTTGGAATAGTGAGATTAACTTTTAATAATATTCCATGACAAGAAGTATTGAGCACTGACTTGCATAATATTATTGTTTTAGTATTTAAGTTTTCATTTCGATTACAAACACTCCTTTCGTAAATACACACCATGGCTTTTTATTTATTTACTTTATTTTATAACCGTCGTTGAACAGCTGACCCAATTTTTGAGTTTGCGACTACTAATGTTCAACTCCATAACCTTGTAATTTTGAACCCAATCAAGAAGACAAGGGAACTCCTGGATCAAGTATTGGGAGAAATTTGCCTTCGAGGAGGACTCTTTGATGGAACTAACCCGCATTTGCGTTACATGGAGAGGAGGACCACGAGAACCTCCCACGGTTAGCCTGACGGCAAGAGGACTCTAATCCATGATCCGTTTACTACTGAGGATATTTCACATCAGAACAGTGGTCGGTGCAAGCCGGATGCGGAATTCGTATCGACCAGCCATCTCCGGGATCGAACCACGGTACACCTCATTGGAAGCTCTATCCCCTGAGCCATCGCTGCACAATTTACTTATTTGTAGATTTTTCCATAATTATTGTATTGAGAGTATGTTAAATATTCCAGATTCTTGAAAATGTGTAAATTAAAGCTTCCGCGTCAGCCTGTTAAGAATTAAGAGGGTCATGGAGTTTAAGCCTCCAGAATTTT